TGGGAGGCTGAGGCAGGAGAATCACTTGACCATGGGAGGTGGAGGTTGCAGTGAGCCAAGATTACACCACTGCACTCCAGCCTGGGCGACAGAGTAAGACTCCATCTAAAAAAAAATTTTTTTTTAAATCATTGATCTGAAATTCTAACTTAACTGGGTGTCCTGTATTTTTAATTACTAAATCTGGTGACCTTATGCTGGTGAGATATATGAAAGTAGCCTCTTGTTTTACAAAGGTATTACATAAAAAGCATTTTGTCTTATATGTTCACCCTGATATAAGAAGCACTGAAGCAGCAACATATATATTATAGAATAAATATTGGTATGTGGAGAAAAAGGATCTTATAACTATTTCAGGATTACCATAGCATTTAAAAAATTCTCACCAAAATCCAGAATATACTTGAAATTTACCATCTGATGTATTCTCTTACCTCAGCATAAGCTTTGGCCCATGTACTCGCCAGCTGATGTAAATCTATTTCACCTGATTTCACAGCTTCCAGGGATGCTTCGGCATCTCTATCATAATCTCTGAGGGATTCCTCTTCTATAAACTGAGTCAGAACTTCTTTTAAGTCTGTTGCAGGGATATCAAATACCATCATCAGCAAAATCCAGGTATAAATAGGGAACATTTTACCTGGCTGAGAATTCCAATGTGAAATCTTATTTTTAAATTTTTATTTATTTATTTTATTTACAGATGGGGTCTCTCTCTGTTACCCAGGCTGGAGAGTAGGGGCATGATCACAGCTCACTGAAGCCTTGACTTCCTGGACTCCAGTGATCCTCCCACTTCAGCCTCCAGAGTAGCTGGGACCAAAGGTACATGCCACCATGCATGGCTAATTTTTGTATTTTTGGTAGAGACAGGTTTTGCCATGTTGCCAAGCTGGTCTCAAACTCTTAAGTTCAAGTTTTCCACCTGTCTTAGCCTCCCAAAGAGCTGGGATTACAGGTGTGAGCCACCTTACCTGGACATGAAATTTTATTTTATCAAGCTGATACTCAATATAATCTCCAACTAAAATGAAACCAGCTTAGGGGATCATTTATCTAATTTCATGTTTATTTTTCTTTACTATTACAGGCTATTGAATAGAGAAAGGTCAAAAGTCTTATCTCTTATGTATACCCTTAATTATAACAAAGTAATGTTACTTTCTTAAGCCTGATAATTCAGTTTGAAGCCAAGTGAGTATGAGCACATAAAGAAAATGCTACAGATTTTAGGGGTCTGAACATAACTGTATTTAGATTAAAAACAGTTTTCCATGTAACTTTATAGGGTACATTGTTACATGCTTTGAAAGAGAAGAGGAATGACTATCTTATTAAAACATTTAACTCAGATCAGATTTGTTTTACAGACACCATTTAGAGAATGACATAATAGAAGAGTACTGAGAAAGAAGTTAGGACACCTGTGTTCTAGCTTTGGCTCTGTCACTATGTCTGTGACTTTAGATAGTGGTTCATAATCTTGAATGTTCATTAGAATCCCCTGGAGGCCTTATTGAAACTGACTGCCAGATGCTACCCCAGTTTCTGATTCAGCAGGAATGGGATGGAGCCTGAGAATTTGCATGTCTAACAAGCTCACAGGTGATGCTGTTGCCAGAAGCCATATTTCAAGAACCACTGCCTTAGGTAAATAATTTAACCTCTTTATGTCCCAGATTCCTTATTTGTACAATATGACTGGGTTATAAGGTTTCTAGGGTCTCTTGTAACTCTAACCTACGATCTAACATACTCTGAAATTTAAATTTTTCCTAGACTGTGAAAAAGAACACAGACCTCTAAAAATGGTTTAATACATATCACTTTATGAAAGCAATTTAGGTAAGCAAAGACTATTCAAAAATTAGTACACGTTCTGTTCTATGGCATCTCAGAAATTAATGAGCAGATTATTAAAAGGGTAACCAATCTAGTGCTACAATTCTATAACACCACAATTAGTGATAGCTGAACTGCCTTATGACTTCACTCAACGAAATTCAAAGAGCTCCTCTAGTCCAAACTTTGTAACTAATTTTTCATTATAAAATCAAATTTTTATACTTTACAAACAACTACCAGAGTTACAGGAAAAAACACTCAATAAAAGAAAGCTCTGAGGAAGTGTATTGATTCTTGGAATCAGTTACTATTTTATGGCTGTTTCCAAAGCTTCTTAGGTTTATGCTTTCTAATATGAAACTTCTAATGACAAATACTGTTGAAAATAATAAAGTGGTATTACCTAAAAAAAAAAAAAAATCAGTCCTCACCTTTTTCTATAAAGCACGGTAAATTGTGCAGCTGCATCAGACATCCATGCAAATGACTGGCATTCTCTTGAATAGGAAATCTGAGTGGCACTCTCAGTTCTAAGCACTGACTCCTTACTTTAAATTCATACACTAATTCTCTCTCTCTACTGAAGAATCTTTCTCTGTTTTTCTTCATATTCTTTGACAGGATTTCTATAGAACTAACAAATAAGCAGTAAGTTATGAGTCCATAAAGATATTATGTTTCATTATTGCTGTCCCACTTCTAAGACAACATTCCGCCATTCAAGAGATTTTATCTGTGTGACTATGAACCAATTATTCTAGTTTTTCCCAAGTCTTATCCCTGTACTCCTGTCTTCATGATGAAAACAAAACAAATGAAAAAACAAACAAAAAAACCCACTTTGTTTTAAACTTGATTTAAGAAAAAAAAATATGGCCATAAAGTACTTTATATTCCAAGGCAGGGTTCTCAACAACAAGGAAAGACCATGAGGAGAAGAGCAGAGAGAATTCTTAGGGAGAGCTCATGGGTGGGAAAATACAAAGCTTATGAAACAGTTCCTAAAAGAAAGTCAGAGAAACAGATCAGGGACCAAGCAGTGATCCTGGAGAACTTAGAGACTGTGGTCATGAGATCTGATTAAGGGAAAGGGAGTAAGAAAGTGTTAGAAAGATTTCCATGTGGGAAGAACATATACAGAAAATAGAGGGTACAGGACCTTGACTTCCACCCCAAAGAGTGCCAAAGGTAAACTAGACACTATTAAGAAAGAAAATCTAGTTAAAGGCGGTAAGAATCAACACTGATTAAAAATTTATTTATTCATCAGCCTTGTAACTGGACTCCCTATGGCTAGGCTTTCTCTATCAAATAAGTTATTACATTATTTTCTACACTGAAGTTATAGTAATCTTATTTTATTTATTTATTTATTTATTGAGATGGAGTTTCGCTCTCGTTACCCAGGCTGGAGTGCAATGGCGTGATCTCAGCTCACTGCAACCTCCATCTCCTGGGTTCAGACAATTCTCCTGCCTCAGCCTCCTGAGTAGCTGGGATTACAGGCATGCACCACCATGCCCAGCTAATTTTTTGTATTTTTTGTAGAGAAAGGGTTTCACCATGTTGACCAGGATGGTCTTGATCTCTTGACCTCGTGATCCACCCGCCTTGGCTTCCCAAAGTGCTGGGATTTCAGGCTTGAACCACCGTGCCCAATTTAATTTTATTTATTTTTCTGAAACAGAGTCTCCCTCGGTCGCCCAGGCTGGAGTGCAGTGGTGCGATCTTGGCTCACTGCAACTTCCACCTCCCTGGTTCAAGCAATTCCCCTGCCTCAGCCTCCTGAGTAGCTGGGATTACAGGCGTAGACCACCACGCCCGGCTAATTTTTTTGTATTTTTAGTAGAGACGGCGTTTCACCAGGTTGGCCAAACTGGCCTCGAACTCTTGACCTCACGCAATCCACCCGCCTCGGCCTCTCAAAGTGCTGGGATTACAGGCGTGAGCCACCGCGCCTGGCCCATAATCTCCTTTTAAAAAAGGAATCTACTTATCTGATCATGTTGTTCATCTGCTTAAAAACTTTTTATGACATTCCATTGGTCTTAGGATAAAATGTAAACTCCTTACGCCAGTTTACAATGCCCCTACTTGTATTTCCGCTCTTCTCTCAGAAACTGCACCTCTCCTTCCTAACACACAAATTCACAAATTTTATTTTCCAGCCCTTCAGAACTTCTGTCAATACCAAACTTTTCTTTCCATGCCAAATCTTTTTGAATGTCTTTTCCTCTGCCTAGAGCACTCTTAACACTAATCTTAATTTCCTTGGATAGCAACTGCTAATTCTTCAGGTCCCAGTTTAGCCCCTCGGAAGACTTATTGAACTCCCTAAAACTGGATTGAGTCCCAACAGGCTCTCAGATTAGTCTGGATTTATTTGAATCGTGGCACTTATCATGCTCTATTTTTTACTTTTGCTAGAAAACAGTCTTCTTGAAGTGAAGTTGAACCAGACACAAAAGCTCTGGTTCAACATATAGACGTGTGTTTCAAGAAACTGATAATTTTAGTGCTTTCTCCTCTCACTCTTTTTAAGACTTATGGTCTATCCAGAGCTTTGTGTCAGTTTTAGCAACCATGAAATCTAGGAAGGTTTCCCATAAGAAAATGGGCTGAGAGGAGGGCTGGACCAAAGCCAACAGAGCAGAGGCTGTGAGGCTCACATTAGTCAGGGAAAAGGAAGGCAGATGGTCGAGCTAAGGAACGTCAGCTGGGTGAGGAGACTAACCCCTCTGCAACGGGAGTCAGTCTGAAAGGGCTTCCTCACTCTCGGTTCTGGGCTTACCTCACCTAGTTCCGAAGTCCTGAGCCGTCCGTTCATTCGAGCTGTCAAGTTGTCTAGCCCCAGGAAACCAGGTGGTTTACTGACTTATTTTTACAGCCCGCGGATCCGCCACCGCAGATTTGCCACATTATTTTCTAGTTCCTGGCATCTTGTAGAAAATGTCTCAGTCCAAGTGCCCCTTTTTCCAACCTGATTCAATTTAACCATTTTAAAAGTGCAAGAAAATGTATTTCTACTGTTATTCTGTATTTCAGAGACAACAAAAACCCGCCATTGTGACGAAAGTGCAGAGACAAAGCACAAACTCGGCTCTGGTGGACCGGATACGGAAAAGTGGTGCATTGGAAGGGCGGGAGCAAATTCGCTTTCCTAACTGCGCTTGTGCATCCTTCAAGCATGGCTGGTGGTGATTGGACGACGGGTAGCAGGGGGCAGAGGGTACCGATGTCTGGTTTTGAGCAGCAGTTGAAACCGCTACTGCAACCAACAAGAACTTGAGAACTGTAAATATCAAGTCTTGAAAGGGATCATGGTGCGGCCTGTAAGGTGGGTAGTTCCTGACATTCGGTGGGGGTGGGAAGAAAACTTAGGGGCAATACATGAGACTAAGGGAAAAGGACCGACTAAGTTCAGATTGCAGCGGTGGTAGGGGTAGGATGGCCGGTTATCGAGAATTCAGTCTCCAGTGATACCTGTTGCTCAGAAGTATCCTAGCATCGTAGCTTTTTCCTTCTCTTTGCCTTCCTTCAACCAGCCATTGCAGTTTCTTTTATCAAGACCTTGTAATGTTAGCGTTTGAACAGCACTTTACATTTCACCGAGCGCCCAATTTTGTGTTATTTTAGTTGTTCATCACTGTAGTTATTTAATATAGAAAGAGTAAACATTCCTGTTTTATTGATTTAACATTTCTACGTATAGAGAGTAAGTTACCTGAGTCATACTGCCCAGTAAGTGGCAGGGCAGTACTCAAACCTAACTCATCACACTGCAGATCGCCTGTGCTTTCCATTACAGTATTAGAAACGATTCCTCTATTTACAGCTGAGTACCATGGAAGCCTACGATTAGCCATTCTTAGTAAAGTTATTGAACATATTTATTTCTATAATGTATGAATTGCTGGAGGTTACATTCTACTGGGAGGTGAGGTTAGGGGCCAAAAATAAGCATCGAAATATGATAGAGTGCAAAGGAGCAAAGCACTACTTTAAATATAGTAGTTATTTTGTGCCTCTCTGAGGCGATAATACATGCACTGAGTCATGAATCAGGGTAGAGGGAAGAGGAGCCAAAGCCCCATACTTGACTATGTTTTAGGGACAGTCTAAAGCTGTAGGATTAACAAGCAGTGGGGAGAATTGTAGGGGATTGGGCCAGAAAAATACGTGCCAGAACAGATAGGGTCTTGTAAGTCTTAGAAAGGAGTTTAGGTTTTGTTTTAAGTCAATGGGAAGTCAGTGGACGGTTTTAAGTAGGGGAGAGAAATCTAAGTTTGCTTTTATAAAGGTCACTGGCTGCTTTTGGAGAATAAATGATGGATGATGGGGTGACCAGAATGGGAGCAGGAAAATCAGGCTATTATATCATTGGAGAGCAGTTTGGGATAGGGTATCATCAGTGGACATGGAACGGAACAGATGAATTTGAGATGTGTTTTTGAGGCACTGCAGACAGAACTTGCCAATGAAGTAGATGCACAGGTCAGGGAAAGAATCAGAGATGACTCCACAGTAGTTTTGGCTTGAGGTACAGAATGGATGATCTTTGTATTAATTAAGATAAGGAAGACTAGGAAAAGGAATGAATGGGTCAAAAGGTGTGAGGGATCAAGATTTCTGTTTTGAACATGTTGAATTTGAAATGGGCTTTAAGCATTCAGGCAGCGAAGTCATAATCCCATTGTATGGAACAGCAGTTGTTAAAGTATGTTCTGCAGACTTCTGGGAGTCCCTGGAAATTTCTCTAGAGGTCTATGAGATCAAAATTCTTTATAACAATACTAAGATATGATTTGCCTTTTTCATCACTTTTGTCATTTGCGCTGCGGTGATGATAAAACTGCTGGCACCTCAGAACAATTAAGGCAGTGACAGCAAATTGTACTACTAGTCTCTGCATTGTTTACTGCCATACTCTCAAGAGTAAAAAAAAATTCAGTTAAGAATATGCTTGATGAAGTAGTGAAAATTATTATATTCATTATAGCTGAACCCCTGAGTATACTTTTTAAAAATAGGCTGATTTTATTTTACTATTATTAGAGTTCAGAATTTCTAAAGGGGTTTTCATATCTTATTCAGCTCTAAATTCTTTAACTCTGAAGAAGAGTAATGTGAGTGTATTTTTTATTATTTTGTGTGAAAAAATGGGAAGTATACATAAGCACTTCTACATACTGATGCATGCTAGTTATCTCAAGGAAAAGCACTTGTGAGATTGTTTCGGTTGTGAGCTGAGCTTATCTTTCTCATAGAACATTATTTTTACTTGAAAGAACAAACAGCTGACAAATTAGGTTATTCACATTTGGACATTTGGCAAAAGATAGAAATAAAAACTAGAAAAACATTATACGTGCCTAGTGCCTAGAGGAGGGAGGAAGAAAATTATTTTTCACTTCGAATATCATTTTCTTCTAATGTCCTCTAAAGTAGTACAGGTTGAATATCCCAAATTTGAAATGCTAAAAAATTTGAAGCTTTTGGAGTACCTACATGACACTCAAAGGAAATATACATTGGAACATTTCAGATTTTAGATTTTCAGATTTGGGATGTTCAACTGGTAAGTTTATAATGCAAATATTCCAAACTCTGAAAAAATCCAAAATTCAAAACATTTCTGGTTCCAAGCATTTGCATTTCAGGTGAGGAATACTTAGCCTGTATAAAGATTCATCTTAGGTGGGAGGAACAAGGTCACTCACCATTTTTAAGTGTCCATTGCATAAAAACATTATTTGGTATTGTGGAGAGATTGATAAAAAAAGAAAGTAGCTTTTAGTGTCAAGAAATTTGTAATCAGTAGGGAAGATAGAATGCACACACAAAACAGAAGAACACAAACAACGGGAACTTAGAAATGCCCAATAGCAATTAAACAGTATAGAAATTATAAGTGTTAATTATATGGATTATTCTTACTTAATAAGTTATCTGAATTTTTTTCCTTTATCATATAATTGAAAAGCCAACAATACCCAGATATATCAGGTATAGTTGTAACTATTTTAGCTAATGATAAATCCCTGCAGTAAAATACAAATCATGTTTTAGATTTAAATGTTCTTACGAGAACCTAAACACATTTTCATTTATTCAAGACTGTTAATAGCCTTAAGTAATAGAGGTGAGAAATTAACATTTGTGTTAATGAGAAAATTCTGTTTTTGTCACAGACATAAGAAACCAGTCAATTACTCACAGTTTGACAACTCTGACAGTGATGGTAAGTAAAGCTTCTTATTTTTGTTTTAAAGATTTGGAAACTAATTTCCTCAGAATTTATATGACATAGATAGCTCAAATACTGACTGAGCTGCCCAATTGCATATGAGGTAGGTCTGGAAAGATAGTTTTATAAGCATTTTGGATAATTATGCTGATAATTACACTGAAAAAGATTATGTTGGTAAGTGATAAATGAACAGGGCCAGGTGAAAAGTCTTTTTAGATCTGAACTACTCTAGATCTATAGTTATCACATTGAGGTTTGTCTCCTGTCTCATCCCCAAAGAATCTCTATTAATTGTAACATAAAACAAGACCTTGAAGAAAGGTTAGGCTTATGCCTTTTGAACATTAGTCCCATATGTTTACTTGACTCTGCTATGATTGGAAAGTTGAGACATTCATTATATTCATTATATCTAACATTGCATTAGATTATGTTATACGTTGAAATGGATTTAATATTTCTTTCTTAGACCAGTAGAGTTTTCTGTAAGTCAAAGATTTAGTAAGTCTTTGGTTTGAAGCAGTCTGTTTTTGCCTAGAGCACAGCCTTAACTGTATCTGCCACTTGGGAAAAAAGTATAGAATACAACCTCTAGCTTTTATTATTAGTTTATAAGTAACAGTGTGTCACCAGATACTTATAAACTGCCAGGTGTGTAGTAGGTGGGGGTGGCAGCAGGTGGAGGGAGTCATAAATTATCCTATTTATGGGGAAGCATATGAGACAACAAGTATTAATGCTTGCTAAGCATGTAATTAAGACTACATAGACCCTGAAGGTATGCATGTATGTGTTGTGTACGTGTTGAAAAGCCACAGCAGTTTTTTGTTGACAGTCAAGAGAAGAACTACAACAGTTCTGAGGATTGGTAGGACAGAAAAACCTGTGAGAAACAGTAATTGACTGGAAAAGAACATTCTTTTGCCAGAAAATAAGAAGTTACTGTGGTAGGGTCATAGGAAGATTGTTATGGAAAGACAAAATACTACTATTGCAAAAATCCTCAAATAGGAGCTATTTTCTCTTCCCCCATGTTGCTTCTTATTTTCTCTAGCATGGTTAATATACTAGAAATAGGTAATGGACATTTTCTTTTTTTCTTTTTTTGAGACAGTCTCACTCTTGTTACCCAGGCTGGAGAGCAATGGTACAATCTCGGCTCAATGCAACCTCCGCCTCCCAGGTTCAGGTGATTCCCCTGCCTCAGCCTCCTGAGTAGCTGGGATTACAGGCATCCACCACCACGCATGGCTAATTTTTATATTTTTTAGTAGAGACAGGGTTTCACCATGTTGGCCAGGCTGGTCTTGAACTCTTGACCTCAAGTCATCCACCCACCTTGGCCTCCCAAAGTGCTGGGATTACAAGCGTGAGCCACCGTGCCTGGCCCAGGTAATGGTCTTTGAAAGAAGATATTTGATTACATTGTGAAGTTCCCATAAAAAATAAGTTATTTCCATTTCTCAATGTGATTAAATTCTATAATTTTTCTAACGGCTTTACAGGTTTTTAATCATTTTTTCTTTGACATTTCTATGCTGTCTTAATTGCTTTTGCAGTTTTTAGTGAATTGGTTTTTGATAGACTGATATTTTTAAATATAAAGGCCACCAAAACAAAGAAAAGTCTAAATAGATGAATAAGAATAAAGATAAACAGAATACTAACAATGATTTTTAAATTGTGGAAATTAAACAATTTGCCTAGCCTATAAAAACTTGAACACACAGTGTAATTAATTTCATTTACTAAGAAAATAATCTTTTTCTTTTGATTTTAATTCACACATCAATAGATGATTTTGTTTCTGCAACTGTACCTTTAAACAAGAAATCCAAAACAACACCTAAGGAGTTAAAACAAGATAAACCAAAACGTAACTTGAACAATCTCCAGAAAGAAGAAATCCCAGTATGAGAGAAAACCCCTAAAAAAAGGTGAGAGGTAAGACATACAGTAAATATATGATATTAGGTGTGTTAATTTTAAAGAGACCCAGATTCAAACCCTTGATTTAAATTAGAACTTGAACAGTCATAGGTCTTATTTTACTAGGTGCATGTCAGAAAACAGGATGTATTGTTAATTTTTTTCTGGCTTTCTGACTTAAAAAAGAAATTCACAAACATATAAGGAAATACTATTTAAATATTAAAACGATAATGACTGTGGAATTTAGAAGTTATGATTGGTTTTGACAGGACCCAGCACTTGTCTCTGAAGTCCTCAAATCATACAAGACTACTTTCTTAAAAACGACATTTGCGAGGACAGCTTCCATGTATTTTTTTTTTTTTTTTTTGCAGAAAAAGATGTCTTCTCCCTATGTTTCTAAGATTTGTCCAGCAGTCATAAGTTCCCATAGTTTCTGGACTAATCATGGAATTTCATTAGATAGTGCCAAGAGGGAGAAAGGAGTGAAGGACGTCCTTAGAGACCCAAAACTTGCAGTATGGAGAAGAGATGGACAGAAGAGGAATACTAACAAATGGAACATGGCATAATGTTTTACCGCTACAAGTTTCTCTATGAAGAGTTAGTTAGCATGGAGAAACTTACCTCATGTCATGCTCTTTTTTGGTTTTTGTTTTTGAGTTTCTTGTATTGCATTTTAAATACATTGAAAAAGGAACCCACACATGGCAGAAAATATTTATAAATCAGATAACTGATAACGAACTATATCCCGAGTATATACAGTACTCTTAAAACTCAACAGTAAAAAGACTAACAACACAATTTAAAATATGCAAAAGATTTGCATAGACTTTCTCCAGAGAAGATTCACAAATAAGCAGTAAACACACGAAAAAGATGCTCAACATCATTAGCTGTGAGGGCAATGCAAATCAAAATCAGAATGAGATAATACTTCCTACCCACTAGATGACTTAACAAAAAAGACAAGAATATGGAGAAATTTGAACTCTCATATATTGTTGGTGGGAATGTAAAATGGTATAGTCAAATTGGAAAATGGCTTAGCAGTTCCTCAAAAATATTAAACATAGAGTTATTATATGATCCAGCCTAGGTATGTATCCAAGAGAAAGGAAAACATATGCCCACACAAAAGCCTGTACATGAATGTTCAGAGCAACATTATTCATAATAGCTAAAAAAAAATGGAGGCAATCCAAATGTCTTATCTGCTAATGAATGGAAAGTAAAATGTGGTATTTACAAAACAGAATATTATTCAGCCATAGAAAGAAATGACTGCCAATAACTGATATATACTGCAATGTGGATGAATCCTGAAAACATGATTCTGAGTGAAAGAAGCTAGATGTACAGGCCACATATTCTATGATTTCATTTGCATGGAATGTTCAGAATAGGCAAATTCATAGAAACAGAAAGTAGATTAATGGTTGCTAGGAGCTGGGAGGGTAAACAGGAAGTGAATGCATGGGCATGGGGTTTCTTTTTGGGGTAATGATGTTCTGAAATTAGATAGTGATGGTAGTTTTACAACTCTCTGAATATACTAAAAAACTGCTGAATTACACACTTTAAAAGGTAAACTTTATGATATGTGAATTATATCTCAAGAAAACTGTTATTCTAAAACAACTAATTATTTAAGGTACATCTCAGTGCTTCCTCCTTTATGTAATTTTTCCTTATCTTGCTTTCTTTGATGTTTTTTTCCTTTTATACTCCACAGCATTTTTGACCAATTTGAATAGGACTTACTATAATCTGCCTTTTATAGGATAATTATTAGCATGTCTTATTTCTTCACCCTCCTCCTTAAATTGCAGACTTCTTGAAGGTACTTTTAGTATTCCAGCTAGTGTAGTGCCTTGTATAAAGTAAGTGATGGTAAAATATTTGTTAAAGTCTGTGTTGGGAGGAACAGATGTTAAAAAATAATAATAATTTTAACATAGGAGCCATAATATCTGCTAAAGGGAAGTGGATGAGGTCAAGGAAGAGTTCTAAGTGGAAGTGATGTTTGGACCAAGTCTGTTTTGGGTTGAGTAAGTGCTTCCCACCTGGACAGACCTGATAGTAAGGTGACACATTACAATGAAAGGGAACTGTCACTGCAGAGGCACATGCTCCTCCCAATTTAGACTTCTTGTTCTGTATATAACATGACATAGTGACATTTTAGAGTCTTATCATCAAAGGTCTATTAGTGATAATGATTGTTTAAAAACATTTTTGTGAAGTTAGCAATTCTTAAATAATAATTTAGGAAAATCTCGAACTTTGCTCTTTAGTTGAGACTGATATTTTGAAAAACTCATTATTATTTGTGTCTATTTTAGGATGGCTTTCGATGACAAGCTCTCCCAGAGAGCTTTTGCACTAGCTTTATCAGTGAAGGAACTCCAACAGTCACCACTAATGTGCAGAAGTCTCAAGATAAAAGTAACTTTATTTTCTATATATCTCCCTTTAAAACCTTCTTAATGCTTTTATAACTATTTCTTTGGGTGTGCCTTCACAGAAGAAAGAGTAAAATATAACTACTTCGCACTATAAATAGATCCATTTGCAGAGGGTACAACTGGATTCAGTTCTAAATTCAGCTGCCTAAATCTCATACAGACATACATCTCTGCTTAACACCCAGAGTAAGCTTGAGGACATGGACTATGAGTCTGAATGTTCAAATTGTGTGTTAGTATACAGTGAACATTTAATTTCTCCATCAAACGAATTGTTCTTTACAGTCCTAACAGTCCATGTCCTTTTTTTCCAGATCAGTTGAACATGCCTTAAACATGGTAATTTATAATACTTACAATGATCATAGTTATTGATTTGGTTAGCAAGCTCAGTAGACTTAAGAGGTGGCTTCTGGATTTCTCTGTTGGTTTTCTCCTTTGATTTTTTGGCAACTATGCAGCAGATCATATATTAATATTCTAGAGAGGCAGAAAACATTATTTCTGAAAAAAATACTCAAACTGCTTAAATGCTTTTTGGATTCAAGTTTTTATGTTGGGGGATATTTTAGCTTATTATCTTATTTAGGGATGTATGTGTGTCTTTTTTTCTTTGTTTTCTAAATCAGTACTGCCTCCTTATTTATTTATTTATTTGAGACAGGGTCTCGCTCTTGTCACCCAGACAATAATACAGTGGCATGATCATGGCTTAGTATAACCTTGACCTCCTGGGCTCAAGCAATCCTCCTGCCTCAGCCTCCTGAGTAGCTGGGACTACAGGCATGTGCTACCATGCCTGGCTATTTCTTATTTTGTAGAGAGGTGTCTCAATATGTTGCTCATACTGACCTCAAACTCACAGCCTCAAGCAGTCTTCTAGCCTCAGCCTCCCAAAGTGCTGGAATTACAGGCGAGAGTCACCTTGCCTGGCTGCCTTCTCTTTAAAAAGAAATGAGAGTTTGATTAGGAAGACTTTTAGTAACCAAGAATCAAAGAAACATCAAAAGAGAATTACATCACAATGTAATCATGAATTACATTTAAAATTGAGGCACTGAAATTCATCTCTTTCTTTTAAGACATTATAGAATGTATAAGGGGAGTTCCTTAGAAGTATTAATATTATACTACTTCTTATTAAATAATCCACTTTGTAGCATTGGAATTTAATAGTACCAATTATAATGTCTTAAAGTCCTCTTAAAATGCTTTGGATTTTTTAAGGTTATTATAATGATTGGTGAGTTCTTAGGTTAGTAAAAGCATGGATTTGCCTACACAGAATTGATAGTTAATATCGAATGACCATTTCCTGTGCATTGGACACAAGAATAAGCAATTTCCATGTGAGATCCACGTTTAGTCTTCTGTAATACCACTATGTGAGATACTATTTTTATCTCCATGTTATAGATCTTCCTCATGAAGTTTTAGGATAAGCAACTTGCCCATGGTCATATAGCCAGTTTACATGGTAGAGCCTGAATTTAAACCTAAGTATGTTAGATTTCAGAGCCCAGACTTATGACCTGTCATGTTAACCTCTCCAGATAAAATTATTCTGCTAGTTCGAGTTTGGGATCATTTATCTATATCAAAATGCTATTACATTTTAGTACTAATTTTTCTATTTCTAGACATTATTTGATTGAGATATACCTGAATTTTCTTCCTTATTCATTATATTTAGGTGCTGAAAAACATGTCAACAGTAAAATAGAAGCAATGAATAAGTCTCCTCATATCTCTAATTGCAGTGTAGCCAGTGATTATTTAGGTAAGTGAAATTAATAATAATTTTTTAATCAACAATGCTGTTTTTCTGACTTTTGTTTAAATTGATGAAATTGTGGCCTGAAACAAGTTCTTGAAATTTGTCAAGGCTCTCTTGATGTCATGGCCTTTATTTCTTTGCATTTTATTCTATTCTCTCGTACTGCAGACACACATTCTTCCCTGAAGGGTCATAACTACCCATGGCTTCTAGTTGGAGCAACTGATCTTTGAAGAAAGGGGCTGCATCTTCCTAGTGCTAGTTTGAAAATTTTGGGGGAAAGATTATCTCTGTTTGGGTCTTGGATTTATCCCTAAAACTAAAGTTTGTTCCCAGGGTGCTGATGCAGAATGGTTGACCCAGATTGGGCTAGTAAATAGCCTTATTACTAGAAGCAGGGGAGGGGTGAACCCAGGTGAATAAAAACAATAGCTATAATAGAGTTTGCTCTGCAGTTCTTGAAATATCAGCTGTCACAGAAAGTTTTCCTTTGATTTTTATGCCTCTCCTGAAGATTTGGATAAGATTACTGTGGAAGATGATGTTGGTGGTGTTCAAGGGAAAAGAAAAGCAGCATCTAAAGCTGCAGTACAGCAGAGGAAGATTCTTCTGGAAGGCAGTGATTGTGATAGTGCTAATGATACTGAACCAGACTTTGCATCTGGTAGGTTTTATCCTGCTTCAAAATTAATTCTATGGGAATTCAGTCCAAAAAGTTCTTGGAAGCCATTAATTATGCAAAGCATTGTGTTAAACCTTTGGGGTGTGCAAACTTCAGGGACACACAGAACAGTTAAATTCAGTGGTAACATTTGGGGAAAAAGTTTTTTCTAGGAGTTAACCTTTAAGCTATGCCTTGAAAAATGAGTAGCATTTCAACAAACTAAAGGTGTAAAGTAGCATTTCTGACTGATAGAAAGGCATTACCCATGGAAGAGACAAATGCTCATACAGAAGTTGAGTGAGGCTTGCTGGGACGTACATGGAAGAAGCTCAAGAGGGAGGCTGGTACTAATCACGGAGAGTCTCAGAAGTACTCTAAGAAGTCTAGACTTTTTTATCTATAGATAGTAGAAATTCATGAATTATTCTGAGGCAGAAGTGATATGAAAGCTATAATTTATTATGATGGTTTTTAGACTCATTTAGAAATTGGGCAAATCGAAAGTGTAATGACCTTGACAGAGATACAGTAATTAAAAATTCAAATTAATAAATTCATAAATTTAGGCCAAATCAGATACCTTATTTTAGATTTTGATATACTATCAATGAACAATAAAAGATTTGTTCATCATCACCTATTCAAATAATATTTGAGTGTTTTCTGTGTGCACTATATTCTAGATTCTAGGGATACAATAGTGAACAAAACAAACAGCTCCTCTCCTTGTGGAACAAAGGAAATGCTAAGGGGGAGGTGGGGAGGGATAGCCTGGGGAGAAATGCCAAATGTGGGTGAAGGGGAGAAGAAAAGCAAAGCACACTGCCATGTGTGTACCTACACAACTGTCTTGCATGCTCTGCTCATGTACCCCAAAACCTATAATCCAATAAAAAATTTAAAAAAAAAAGAGTGTTTTGCATTTATTTTACTTCGGGAGGACCTGAGAGACAGGAAAATGTAAAGACACTTTTTGATTGCCAACATGATGCTCAAGGAAATACTCATTTGAGCATTTTGGATTTCTGCAGTTAGAATGCCCAACTGGATATAAAGCAAATGTTCCAAAATCCAAAAGAATTCTGAACTCTGAAACATATCTGATCCCAAGCACTTCAGATAAGGGATATTCATGTATCCAAAGTAATTGAAAGCAGGATCTGAGAGAGATATTTGCATACCCATGTTCATAGCAGCATTATTCATAATAGCCAAGAAGTGGAAATAGCCCCCAAAGTGACATTTTAGTTTTCCCCCTGCATTCACTTGCCCTGGATGAGAATAGAAAGGACCATGTGTGACCTTCATTAATGAAAGAAAAGAGAAAATTGCAGAGAAGATAAGTCTTTTCTCTAATGATTCCCAAAATCCATAACTGACGTGTTTGAGCCTTCCAGATTTTCCTCTATGGGATGCTAATGACTTGGAATTTTGGGAACTCCAACTCCCCATCTCTAATTTTATTTAAATTGCTTTCTCAGTTGACTAACAAAGATTAGTTGGACTCCATTTCTGAACAAGCTAGTTAAACAGAAATGTAGCCAGCTTCTACTATTTATCCTCTAGGGCCAAGAAAAGAATCCTTAAGACTTCTAAGTTACGGAACACATGCAATATCAGAACAGTGGGATACACAGAAAGTTTTGTTCTACATTATCTATTCTGAGAATTAGGGGAAACTTCCTTCACTACTTACCCTCTTTGAACCTCTTTGAAGGCTCTTGGGATTCCTTGAATTTTCACGCTAAATTTATAACAGGCTTCATGTGATCTGCTGGCCTATTTTGGGCTAATTCTGTATAGCACAGTAACCATTATGTAAGTATGTGAGTTGATTACTCTATTTTTAAATTTTTGTGTGGGAACAATGATAGAATAAGGAAATTGCAATTTGGAGATCATAATGACATTGTTTTTTGTTCTTTTTTTGTTCTGTTTTTTGAGATAGAGTGTTGCTCTGTCGTGCAGGCTGAGTGCAGTGGCACGATCTCGGCTGACTGCAGCCTCCACCTCTTAGGTTTAAGCAATTCTCTTGCTTCAGCATCCGAGCTGGGACTACAGGCATGTGTCACCACACCCCAGCTAATTTTTGTATTTTTAGTAGAGATGGGGTTTTGCTATGTTGGTCAGGCTGGTCTTGAACTCCTGACCTCCAGTGATCCACTTTGGTCTACCAAAGTGTTGGGATTACGGGTGTGAACCACAGTGCCCAGCCCATAAATGACATTGTTGATTTAGGTAAAGGTCATTAGTGGAAGGTTGATGAGGATCTTTACAATGGTAAATTCAGGCTGGCATCAACTGAACCACCTAAAACAGGGACAGCCACACATTTTATGACTTCGGATATGATGTAATATGAAGTACAGAGCTATGAAGTACATTCTTGCCAAAACAAAAGGTGAGCCTGAATCCAGTCAAGCCTTGAGAGCAGAATTCCAGCTCACATAAAATACAAGAATATGGCTGGGCACGGTGGCTCATGCCCATAATCCCAGCACCTTAGGCGGCTGAGTTGGGTGGATCACTGGAGGTCAGAAGTTCAAGACTAGCCTGCCCAACATGGTGAAACCCCATCTCTACTAAAATACAAAAATTATCTGGGCATGGTGGTACATGCCTGTAATCCCAGCTACTCAGGAAGCTGAGGCAGGAGAATTGCTTGAACCTGGGAGGCAGAGGTTGCAGTAAGCCAAGATCATGCCACTGCACTCTGGCCTGGGTGACAGAGTACGACTTCATCTCAAAAAAAAAAAGCAGGAATAAGTTAAACGACACCATGAGCAAGAAATCAGACAAATCCAGAACTTAGGAGAGTCTGCAGGACAATTGACCCAACTGCTTCAGCAAGTCAGGGAAGACAGGGAAAAAATACTGCTCTATATTAAAAGAGATTAATACAGACTGAATAGAAGATGATACCAAGAAACTACTGTTAGTATTGCTAGATGTGGCAATGGTATTGTTATGTAAGAAAATGCTCATTTTTTTAGAGATACATTCTAAAGTATGTAGGAATGTAATGACATGATACCTTGGATTTATTTTAATAAACTACAAAAAGGGAAGAGAAGAGAAGAAGAAAAGAGAGATGGATGAAACAAATGGAGCAAAATGTTGACAACTGTTGGATCTGGGTGGTGGTTTATTACTGTCTACTGTGGTATAGGTTTTTAAATTTTAGGTGATTTTTATTTCACAGAGATTATTTCATATAGATAGGTTGATATTAGTATGTGGGGATAATAGCGGCTATCTCTGAGTGGCGAGATGACAGTAGATTTTCTTTAATAAAGTTTTGTATGGTCTACATTTTTTACAATAAGCATGTACTGTTTATTTTTTATTTTATACATTTTTTGCTTTAAGTATTTTCTGCAATAAGCATGTTCATACTATTAAAAATATAAGAAAGTTTTATATGAATATAGGACTAGCCCTATTTACACTTAGTTTTCAGAGTTTATTTACAAGGAATGGTTTTCTGATCCTAACCTCCTCAAAAAATAGAATGATAATTGCTTAACTATCAGATTAGGACATGTTTTTTCCAGTGCATCTGTAGCACTTTCAAAATTAGATCACTGACTTATTTTTTTCTTAGGAAGGGCAGAAAAGCCTTTTTGAGAAATAAAAGTTTGTCCCAAATGAAATCAGCTCTAGGATTATCTGTTAAGATTGTTGTGTATGGTTATCTCAATTCTCAATTGGTCTATTCCAGAATGTTAAAATTTATGTGATTAAGGGAAGGCTCACTCTTAACATAAATGCATTGTTTTGAAAGATTAGCATTGTCATACCCTACCATTCTTTTCCAAAGTTACTGAGTTAAAGTGCTAAAATCTGAAGTAAAGATTACTGATGGGAAATTTATAGTGATAATGGTAATAGCAAACAATTATATTTTGCTTGGTATATGCCAGATGTTATTCTAAACGCTTTGTATATATTAACTAATTTAATCCACACAACAAGCCTGTGCTGGAGGTTTATGGTTATCCCCATTTTCTAGGTGAGGAAACTGAGGCTCAATGAAGTTAGTGACCTGTCCGAGGATTCAAACCCAAGGCACCCACAATGTCAGCTGCAGTGTTCTGCGACTGGAAACAGTGCAGCACAAAGGTGCCTAAAATCTGCTGCCAAAGCTGTGGATAAAGTTAAGGCAACAGAGTCCTGACTTTTTAGAGCAAAGATGAAGTATGTAATCTTCTGTTTTAGGTGGAGATTCTGAGGATGATTCTGGTTTTGGTGAGAGCAAGGATAAGGATGAAGAATTCTCTATGAGAAAAAGTAAAGTTAAAGAAATTAAAAAGAAAGAAGTGAAGGTAAAATCCCCAGTAGAAAAGAAAGAGAAGAAATCTAAATCCAAATGTAATGCTTTGGGTAAGCTTGGTCCAAAACACTTAATTTTATAAAGGCAATGTATGTGGTTTATTTGCTGTATTTTTCTTATCTTTGCCTTTTTCTCTTTAACATTTTCCTAATGTTCATTTCTTGTTAAAATATGTAAAGGGAAGGTAGGGGTGGAGAAGGGTGACAAGCAGATAAGAATGCAGAGTCCACTGCCTGTGCTAGCACTTATTACCTGACCTCGCTTTGGTACTCATGGCCGTTCTCTGTTGTCACCTGCATTCTACAGTGAAAGACTGGGTCTCAGAGAGGTTCAATAATTTGTTGGAAATCTTACATCTAGTAAGTGAGGGGCTAGAATTTGAACCCATGTTTGTCCATTCAGTGTCTAAGCTGTATCTCGGACCACATTTTCTCCAGGCAAAACAGGGAAGTTTGCATGATTCTAATTTTTTGCTTTTGTGCTTACTTAGGCTGATTTGAGAGCTCTTTTGCCACATATAAGAGCTTCGGTCACCTTAAAGAGCATGTTGCTGAATACTTACTAAGAATTAAATGAGAATTAAGTACTGACTGAGTTATATTCTTCTCTGTCCTGTATTCTGAATTAATGAGGTTTTAATTAGAGTGGTTTTTTTAATTGATTACTTCATATGGGTTCCAGCAATTAGATATTAAATACAAGGGCTTTTAGAGATAAAACTGTATATTAGTTTCCTGTTACTGTTATAACAAATTACCACAAATGTAGTGTCTTAAAACAACACATATTTGTTATTTTGCAGTTCTGAGTATCAGACATCGAAAGTGGCTCTCACTGGGCTAAAATCAAGCAGTCAGTACGACTGTGCTCTAGGAGACAATCCACATTCTTGCCTTCTAGCTCCTTAGGGGGGTGCCTGGATTTCTTCGCTTGTGGCCCCTTCCACCGTCACAGAGCAACGGCAAGGACTTTCTCACGTCATGTTACTTGACTCTGACTTTGCTTCTTACATTTACTTATAAGGGCCCCAGTGATTACATTGGGCCCCTCCAAATAATTCAGTATAATTTTCCCCATCTAAGATTCTAAATTACATCTGCAAAGTCCCTTTGCCATGGAAGGTAGCATATTCACACGTTCTGGTGATGAGGATGTAGATGTCTGAGGAGCCAGTATTCTGCCTACTACAAGCTATAATATGAAAAAGTTATTAACACCATGAATATATTTTGTATTTTTTTAGATGTTTGTTTATGCTTCTTCACTAAGACACACTGATAACTAAAAATAAATTTCAGTTCCCAAATTGGAATTAGCCATTTAAAATCTTTTCTGTATCCCTTGGAGCAAGTTGCTTCACAACTGAGATTAATATACAATATTAAAAATAAAATTTAACCATTAAGTGATAGGATTAGGAATTAGGAAAAATTTATGTATTTAGTAATGTATTGGGTAAACTTCGAGAATTGTATCCAGCACTTGTTATAATTTTCCCTTGATAGAAATAATGTTGAGAAATGTCTGTCCAATATGGTAACCTCTGGCATGTGTGGCTATATTACATTTAAGTGAATTTAAATTAAGTAAAATTTAGAAAACAGTTCCTTCATTTTGCAAGCCACGTTTCAAGTGCACAGTAACTCTGTATAGCTAGTGGCTACCATATGGAACAGCATAAAACACAGAACATCTCTGTAATCACAGAAATTTCCATCAGACAGTGCTGATCTAGAGGATGCAGATTTAACATTAGGAAGAGTAAATGGTGAGAATGTTCATATATGCATTTAAATACCCCTAGGTATCTCAAAACAAGCACTATCTTAAAGAGAACGTATATGCCACCTTTCCTCCTTCCTCCCCACCATGAAAGAGAGAGAGAGAGAGAGAAAAGAAAAGAAAGAATGAAGAAAGAAAAAGAAAGACAGACAGACACAGACATACTTCAAGGCTTCTGTTCATTCTCTAGATAAATGGCACCATCAAGCATGTCATGCCCATGTCATGCCTGTGCCCATGGCAGGAACTTGCAAGTCATGGATTATTTCTTCATCTCCATTGCTGCCTCCCACCTATCTATTTTTGCTAAAACATAGCTGATGTGCTGTTTTCCTTCTATTCTCCACCTTAGTAGGCCCCCATTTCCTCTTACCTGATTGCCATAAGTCTTCTAAGCGACCTACTTCTCCTACACTACCACCAGAAAGATGTTTTTAAAATGCAAATCACTCCTGAGAAAAATGTATGCATGATTGTGACTAGCTAGACTCTTTTACATGGTTTTTCATAAGTAATCTATATCCTGTATCTGTCTCTTACCTTTCCTACCCTTGAGATTTCTGCTCCAGCCATATACTGAACCAGTCAGTACTACTGGCCCGAGAACTTGGTGATCCTCCATCTTTGCACACTGTACTCCCTCTGCCTGGAAAGCTTCCCTCAATTTACCTTTACTCTTCAATCTTGATTGGGTTCAGACCATCCTCACTCACCTCCTTCTAACTTCAAAATACATACACCCAGATTGTAGTTTCCTTCCCTACTTGGCATACCTATAGAGTCTGTCATATCCCTTACCACACTGCAATTTACACATCTTTACTTTCCTGTTCTTTCCACTAGAGTCTAGTGACTAGACCATAAAGTCCTTGGGAGCAGGAGCCACGAATGATACTGTTTGTAACCCTGGAGCTTGACACCTGGTCTCACTGACAAATACTGATGAGACACTATTGTGTAATGGTTGGTTATAAGGATGGACTTTGGAGGAAAATCTGATTTCTAAGCTTAGACGCTTAACCAGCTGTCAGACTATAGTCAGATTGCTTAACGTCTCTATTTCCTTCTCTGATAGTGGGGAGAGTAGTATCTGTATTGGAGTTGTTGTAAAAGGTTAAAGGTAATGTGTGTGATATGCCCACCCACTACCCGGTATATTAATGCTTATAAAAGATGGCTGTTCTTAGGCTGTCAATAAATGTTTGTTGATTAATAAGTTTATTTTTATATGATTATGTAACTTTATAATTTTTACACATACATGCTAAACTTACTTTTTCTTCCCTAAAGACAAACTTTTTTACGTTTATTTTTCAAATAAGTGACTTCGATAGACTCTGCTCCAGCTGCTGTCAAATCAGAATCTCATTCCTCACCAAAAAAGGATTCTCTTTCTTCAGATGTCACTAGGAAACCATTACAAATACGCAGTCCTTCAGCTGAAAATAAGAGACCTAAATGGGTCCCACCAGATATGGTATATTTATCATCAAGGGCAGTAGCTTGGAAAATTATCACTGGTAAATTTTTTTCCTAGTTATAAATGTCATGTGTGAGCATTTCACTATATTATTACATATTCTTCAAAACCAAATTCTGGTTGCTACATTTATTTAACCATTCCCTTATTATTAGACATCCAGGTTTATGATTTTTTAGTGCTATAAGTAAGATTGCAATAAGCACAAATGTCCTTATTTTAGGAATCTCTGAGCACATTACTGATTATTTTCCTAGGATAAAATTTCTAGTAGGATAATTACAGTGTTAGAGAGTATAAACATTTGAGATTCCTGATATATGTATTTCTGGCAGCACATCTTTTGCTCAAGACCTGCTTGACCTCCACAATCTGACTGAAGCCTTGGGATCTATATGTGGCAATTCTAGCATTTAGCAAATGCTCTAGCAAAGTCAACCTCTGACTTTTACAAATTTTGCTTCTCTTTGTTTTCTTTTGCTCCACAGCCAAGCCTCATTGATCCTTCAAGAATTCTTTAACCTTCACCCTTCTTGACATTACTAAAACCCTAATCTAGGCCCAAATTGTTGCTGCCTTCCTAACCAGTCTTGTCTTTACTTTCTCTCGTCCATGGACCCTCTAATTCAGTGAAACCCTCTATTCAGTGAAACACTTTATGTCTCTCAAACATGTTATGTTTTACTCTCTCAGGGCCTCTTTTTACCCTCCTCTGCCTGGTATATTTTTCTTCATATGTTCCCTCTCCTTTCCTAATCCCTTCCAGTTCTACTCCTGTTTTTCTTTTGAGTGGCCTTTTTTGATTCATCCACAGTCGTCACTCCCCTGATGACTAGGATTCAGCTTTAGGCCTGAACTGTGAGGCTGCATGATTACTTAACTAACAGAGTCTTAATTTCATCATATGAAATATTGGAAACAGATGTAATTTTTAACGTGCATTCTGGTTTACAAATTCTAAGATTTTTAATGAGGACCTAAAAGCTCTTTGGAGAAGGAAAGGAGGGAAGATTAATTACTGAAATAATGATGTTATATCATTCAAAGAGTAATACTTAGTATATTTCTAAGAATAATTAGTGCTTCCCCAATGAAAGAAATGTGAAAGAAATGACATAACTGTAGAAATTTAAAAGGAGCATAATAAAAAACATACAAGGAAACAGTAGAATGATGGATAAAGAGTTAGTATCATAAAGCACAAAGTGCTTATAAAGTCAGTATGTGATGCAGTCAGGCAAGTGATGTAATGGGTGAGTTGGGCACATGCAGTAGACTTGGGTGAATAGGAATTTTGTTAGACTCAGGAGCAAAAACCCTTTGGAAGGAAGCAGCTGCTACTCAGCTCTGTCTTATAAAGGATTAAGGATTATGGGCCTGGTATTTCTAGATCTGATTTTTGTTTTCAAGAGTAGCCAGAAATTCAGATTTTAATATGAAATCTGCTAATCTTTGTAAGTTGACTTTTTTTTAAAGCACCATGTGAACCAAACAATATATCTGAGAGCTAGATTTGGCCCACAGATTGCCAGTTTGTTACCTATCTTATACAACTGGAGAAGACCGCCAAGATCCCAAAAGTAAAATCAGCCAGTGGCATAAATATACCAGTGTCCCCAAGAACTATTAATATGACTAGAAAATAGGAAGAATTTCAGACTCGCTTGTAATTAAAGAAGTATAAATTAAAATAAAATATTATTTTATACCTCTCAAACTAGAAAACAATAAAGCAGTATAGTCTGAGTTACAGGGTAGCAGATGTAATTATTTATTTTAAATTTATAATACTGTTGTGTAGGTGAGCAACTACAGTCACCATCAACTGTGAATATTAATGTGGATAATTTTGAAATAGATGGAAATAATTGCTACATTAGGGTAATAGTATAAATGAAACTAGTATAAGTAAATAAAAACAATTTTTGCCAGTTTAAACGGTATGTAATAATTGAAAACTAGACTATTCAAGGACTACTTGTAAAAATTGAAGGACCTTTAAAATGCATTTGCTTTTTCTTTGACTTTAGAAATTATCATTTTATGCATTCTTTATGCCTTTACAACTAGTGTTACTCATTCCCAGCTTTCCTTTTTCAGCTTTCGTGGTGAAGTTTAAGTGTCATTACCTTGACTTCTGGGATGTTTGGAAATAGGCAATATTGTATTATTTCTGCTCTTTAGCACATTTCATTCTTTTGATCTAGTTTGTTGTTTGATAGCTCTGGAAAGCAGAATAATGAGAATAACGCTTAACTACCTTTTTTCTTTTTTGCTTCTTGTTTGTTAAATTAATCTTTGTTAAGAGATTTCTGACATCATCAGCATCACATCATATGTTTCCTTTCAGCGGCATCTGGAGGTAGCAGAAATAGCAGCAGCCCACTGGCAGTAGTATCTGTGAAGTCTCCAAATCAGAGTCTCCATCTTGGCTTGTCCAGATTAGCACGAGTTAAACCTTTGCATCCGAATGCCACTAGCAGCTGAGTGTGGTACCAGAGGAATGTTTGGTTGAGAGAATCGCAGCTTTACAAGGGTGTTTATATTTAATTTGTGTTTATATTTGAGGCAGGTATTGTAATATAAAGGAATCCATTACCATGTCCTATAAATGGTCTCTAGCTATTTTAGGTTTATGTTCTCTGTAAAGCTCTTCAAGCCTTCAGTGAGAGTTTTGTCTATAAGAACTGTCTTCTCATGCCTTTCCTTGTGAAGAGCATATTCTATTTTTCTATCAGTTCTACATGAAGGAAGTCCACATCACATGCTGTTCTTTTCTAGTTACATGATGTGCCTTTCTGGCTTTAGCTAGTTTATAGCACCTTAACTGTTCAGTTTTATCTGGCAGAGGAAACATTCTTATTTTTCAGAAGACATTTCTGAAATCTTACATGCTACTGAAGCTACCTTGTCAGTTTTATTGCAAAGGTTTTTTGTATTTTAGCCAAATCTTTTTATAGTATGAATTTGGAAATATTTTATACACTAAAATGGTTGTGGTTTTATGGCATGCATCTCCTATGTAGATGGTTATTCTATAGCAAATAGAATTTAAAGACATTTTATTAAATCTTCATTGTCAAAACCTTTAATAAAAGTGGAAACATTTTGAAGTGCTCTTTTTCTTGATGCCACTGCATCCACCTGTTCCTGATTGTCCACATTTCATGATAAAATGAGAGCTCTGCAGAGAATGTTACCCTTTTTGTTGTAAATATGAACAAGGGAAAGCTGTTTCTTTAAGTAGTAACTTTTTGTTAAGTTCTTTTTTTTTTTTAATTTTTTATTGGATTTTAGGTTTTGGGGTACATGAGCAGAGCATGCAAGACAGTTGCGTAGGAACACACATGGCAGTGTGCTTTTCTTTCCTTCTCCCCTTCACCCACATTTGGCATTTCTCCCCAGGCTATCCCTCCCCACCTCCCCCTCCCACTGGCCCTCCCCTTTTCCCCCCAATAGACCCCAGTGTTTGGTACTCCCCTTTCTGTGTCCATGTGTTCTCATTTTTCATCACCCGCCTATGAGTGAGAATATGCGGTGTTTCATTTTCTGTTCTTGTGTCAGTTTGCTGAGGATGACGTTCTCCAGATTCATCCATGTCCCTACAAACGACACAAACTCATCATTTCTGATTGCTGCATAATATTCCATGGTGTATATGTGCCACATTTTTCCAATCCAGTCTATTATCAATGGGCATTTTGGTTGATTCCAGGTCTTTGCTATTGTAAACAGTGCTGCAATGAACATTCGTGTACATGTGTCCTTATAGTAGAACGATTTATAGTCTTTTGGTATATATCCAAAAGACTATAAATAGAAAGCAGTTGTCAAGCACTTAGTCATCCCTATTGTGATATTAGATAATACAGCTTTTCAGGAAGCTTAGATTTAAATTTATGTTAAAAAACAATTTATGTTGAAAAATAATTAATATTTCATATTCATAATGAAAATTTCAACTAGCTGCTGATCAATTTTTAATAAAAAATTTCAAATCATGTTAACTTCAAAAATATATAATACTTAACTCAGTTTTTCTTGGTTTATTGAAATGTCCATGTTAATGTGAAAACAATTAATTTAGAATTGTGATTAAAGTGAGCATTTGTCTACTGCTATTGTATACTTTTTTCTTATCTAGTGTATATTTTTATAGTGTCATATACCAGCCCCCTAACCTACCCCACCTGTCTTCTTTTTAAAAACATAATTTCCAGTTATGTAGCACTGAGGTTCTCTATTTGGTGCAGATCAACAATAAACAAGAGCCTACTCTGTATTAGGTACTGATATAATTGATTAATCATCTGGCACTAGCTTAATGACCTGTTTTGCTATGTTATTCATATTTATAGTTTATTTTTTTGAGGGGGGTGTTGAAAATTGCCTTAAAGTACGTTAAAATCAGCCTGGCTGAAGGCACTGATACCTTCATGTTGCCAAACCCAGTGTACAGTTTTCTCACCTAATCTTATACACCCTGTGCATTATACTCTGATGAAAACATTTCATTTCCTTGGCTCACATGAGCCATTTCTTTGTCAATTTTTTCCCATCTCCATGCCTACTCTTCATTATTTTGAAGCTTTCTAATCTTTTGTGTCACCTGTACCTACTTGTCTTACCAGTTTCACGTTCTATGCAAACTCCAGTGGTCACTTATGCAACAGTGACTGCTACGTCAGGATCTTTACCCTACACCTTGCTCTTGACACAAAACCTGTGGATGGTCCACTGACAATTTGATGTACTGGATCAGTCATTGAATTCAGGCAGATCACGAGGTCAGGAGATAAAAACCATCCTGGCTAACATGGTGAAACCCCGCCTCTACTAAAAATACAAAAAAATTGGCCGGGCTTGGTGGTGGGCACCTGTAGTCCCAGCTACTCAGGAGGCTGAGGCAGGAGAATCGCTTGAAGCTGGGAGGCAGAAATTGCAGTAAGCTGGGATCACACCACTATACTCCAGCCTGGGTGACACAGTGAGACTTCATCCCCTCCCCCCCAAAAAAATTCAACCTCTCCTACCCCTGACATCATCCCTACCATGTTTTCTGTTGGTAAACGAATGGCCCTGCGATCACTGCAGGTGCCAAAGGTAATCCTGGGATTGAAACTTCTCTCGACCTTCACATCCAGTCACCAAATCTTACTCCATTTCCTAAATTTCTGAAAGCTAGCCTTCCATGTGCGCTCCCTTACTCTGAAACACCAATACTCACTGTTTCTAACAGGGGTCCTTGCCTTGATTCCTAACCTACTCGGGCCTGCCTTCCATTGTTACTGCCATAGAGGGTTTTATAAAGTAAAGTCAGCATGAACACCCCTCTACAGTTCACACATGTAAACCTTACCCTGGTCGAGTTCACAAGCTGCTTCGTGTCTGGCTGGCCCCTTCCTGCTGTTTAACCCTTGTCTGCCCATGTACACCTTTGATCCTTGCCCCACTAAACTGGGTGCTGCCACAATGGTGCCATGCTTTTCCATGGCTCTGGCCTTCAGACTAGGACTTGCTTCCTTTATGTAGCTAACTGCTACCCGTCCGTGAAGACTAAAACTCAACCCAGCTCTTTCAGAATGTCTTTTCTGCCTGGACCAGACTGTGTGCTCCTCTCCAGGTCAACCTACTGTCATTCAGTTATAAATTTCCCTTTTCATGTCTTCCTACAACCTGGTGCAGAGTAAGCACTCAAAAAGTGTTCAGCTGATGAATGGATTTAACCTGGAACTTTTGTGATGCACTTTTTTTTTTCCTCAAAAAAACTTCTAAATAGAGACGGGGGTGGTGGGCGGTGGGGGAGCGGTCTTACTACATTGGTCAGGCTAATCTTCAACTCCAGACCTCAAGTGACCTCCTGCCTGGAACTGCCGAAGCGCTGGGATTGCAGGTGTAAAACCACCACGCAGGGCCAGAACTTTTGTGATGCAATTCTGATAACCCCATGCTTTGCTTGAAGAAGGGAAGAGTAGGGATAATTTCAAGTGTCTGGTCTGGGCAACCAACATTAAGCTCTTTTTGCTGGGATTTTGTTCAGTTTCCTGCCTGTATTTTAAAGAACTGGGGCAGGAGAATGCGAGTAGGAGGATGAGAAATATGTTCTTTAGGCTGCTGCTCTGCAAGGTGGTTTGGAACTGGACCATAGCCTGAGGAAGCCCTTTAAGCTCCGGAATCACAAAAGGGCGGAAGCCGTTTCTATAGCGACGGGAGAGGGCGTGGCCGTGTCGCGCGCTCTGCCGGGCGCTCCCAGCCTCCCGCAGAGGTTGGCGGTCAGCGCCGGCCTCTGGCAGCTCCTCTCACCATCTACCCGCACCAGAATAAAAGGACCGCGGAGGCTCTTAATTCGCGAGCATTCCGGCAAGACTACGAGCCAGCTAGGGTCCGCTACGCTCTTCTAGGTGACAAAGCTGGGAGACGGGGTCGTGGGGAAGAATGAAAAGCGCGCGGAATGCAAGAGTAGACTGCGGAGTGTGGGTCAGAGAGAGCCGGGCCGGGTGTGGTGCGCAGACTTGGAAAATACAGTTGTAGCCTCGGAATCCAACATCAGTATACTTTTCTGTTAAGATGCCGATGGATCGCTGACTCCAGCTGAGTGCAGGACAGGGAGTGAGGGCTTCTGAGGAACTCATCACACCCTGAACTGTCCTTCCAGCCCTCACTGGGACGCCAGACTTTCTTCCTCCCTTTCTTTCTCTAATTTACTGCATGTCCACTTGGTAGTCCTAAGTGTGTCCATGACCACACGCCTCGCGTTGAGGCTCTGGCAGGCATTAACCATGTTCCCACGCAGCCCATATGCCTGGGCACCTCTGCTCAACCAGAGCCCAGCGCCTGTCACAAAAGCACGCTAAGGTGTGTGTAGATCATACACCCAGAGCTGCCGCTCTGAGGAAATTCCCAATATTAACAAATCTCTCCTTTAAAAACAGATGAATGATACACAATTTGAGGGTTTTTGAAGGCTATTTTGTGACATTTGCTGCATTTGAAATGTCCAGCAGCTCCTCAGAGCTTAGGAAAATTGTGACCCCTCTGACATGTCTTAAGCAACTGACAGTATCACCAATAATTTGTTTGTTTGTTTTTTTGAGACAGAGTTTTGCTCATTGCCCAGGCTTTAGTGCAATGGTGCAATCTCAGCTCACTACAGTCTCCACCTCCCGGGTTCAAGCTATTCTCCTGTCTCACTCTCCTAAGTAGCTGGGATTACAGGCATGCACCACCACGCCTGGCTAATTTTTTTGTATCTTCAGTAGAGATGGGGTTTCTCCATTTTGGTCAGGCTGGTCTGTAACTCCCAACCTTAGGTGAACAGCCCACCTCGACCTCCCAAAGTGCTGGAATTACAGGTGTGAGCAACCACACCGGGCCACCAATATTAATTCAAGCTTCACTGTCCAGGCTTCACTGTCTAGGCTTAAGTGGAGACTTGGCAAAAGGAGGAGGCCATTTAGTGGAAAAGTTCAAACAGCGGAAACAACAAATGGAAATACCTTTTGTCTTGCTTGAGCGATTTAATCACCTACACGTGGTTGGTATGTAAAACCTCGTAGTTCTAAGAAATTCTTCAAGCATGGACTCTGGCTGATTGCTTCTATTACTTACATCTATGGTTTCTTGTTTGTTTTGGTTCTTATGGAGAATGCAGAGATAAACTGGAAGGGAATCTCTCGCAGGATGCCAGCCACTCTTCCCTGACTTTGCCTTCTCCAGCTCCACATATTATTGTCTACAACTCGGTTAGAATCCATACTTCTCAAGCATGTGGAGGACCCAGCACTGGGAATTAGTGGTTTTAGTTGACTCCAAGCCCATTGTGAGTGTGTTGTGATAGCTCCCCAAAGAGCAAATGTTGGTGGAGGCTGCATTAATAGAAATGCGATGACTGCATCAAAGGATATGGTCTTGCTGCCTGACTTAGCATTGATTAGAACATAATCCAGACTCTGTAGACTGTAGCCACTTTGAGATCATAGAAAACTAGAAAATAAGAGCAACCACAAGGCAGGCTGTCTCTGTCAGGCCTGGATGTGCCATCATATGAAGACAGGTTTGAAAAAACTTCACAGAATGCCTAGAGATGAGGAGGTGCAGGGGAGGGAAGCAGGCGTTTTTCTATTCAGGTTTGGAACATGCAAGAACTCTTGAGTAGGAAAGAGACAGATTTGTTCATTTGTACGCTGCAGAGGATAGCAAGGATCAGTGAGGGAAATATTCCTCAATATCATTTATTTTTCTAAGAAATATTTGTCAAGCACCAACCATATGTAAATTAACAGCTGAGTGTGAAATGGGTTGCCTAGAAAAACATTGCACTCTGTCACAGAAATATTCCTGCCTAGATAGAGTGATTGTCAGGGATGCCATGGGAAGGTTTCTTCCCCTGGGTGGGAAAATGGATGAGACAGTCTCCAAAACCACTTCTAACTCCAGAGTCTGGGAGTCAGTGAACCTTCAAGAGTTTCAGGGATATATGCAAAGGGTCCAAGGAATTCTCTATGACTGAAATGACTGTGACTTAAAATATAGCTAGATAGAAGAAATAAGACACAGTGTTCAATAAATCAGCAGAGTGACAATAGTAACCAATAATCTGTTGTATATTTCCAAATAACTAGTAGAGAACACTTGGAAACCCTGACTTGATTATATATTATATAAATTTATAAATATATACGTCTATTAGGTATCAATTAAAAATGAATATAACTGAAGTTAATTAAATACATTATCTCCTGTTCACAGAATGCAAAGGGAATCCCTGCAAATCCTACATTGCCACACTTTCTGCCCCAAAGACAGCCCCTGGGCATAAAGATCAAGCTACTGCCAATTGTAGTAGAAATACTAAAATCATAACAGATAAATCTCAAAAGATTTGTTTCCTTTCTGGATATTGAAGTCTTTATGCATAGATAATGTGTATGTATTAATATAAAAGCCTATGCACAGCAGTAAGGCTGGCACCTCTGTGGATCTGTCTTGCCCTCGAGACTTCAAACTCTTTGAAAACAAGGATTCTGTTTTATTTATCTTTGAATCCTCCATGCTTAGCACAGTAGCTGGCACACAGTGGATGCTCTGAAATTTTTTGATGAATTAATCTATTTTAGATTTCTTTTCCTTCCACAAATTTGTACCAAGTTTTCAATAGACAAGTCACTGTCCTCACCCCAAAAAGAATTGTTAAGAAAGCAGGCTTACTATCTATGTTCCCAAAATACAATCATATGAGACAAAAATATACATACACTTAAGATCATTAAGTTACACTAAAGCTCTTGACCAAGTGAAGAAATGAGTTAGGCAAAAGGCTGTTGAACACTTGAGGAAAGAGAGGAAGAGGAAGGGGAACACTGACCTGCATGTAAGATGGAAATGAGGATGGCCAAACTTTTGGTTTCAGTTCTCAAGGGAACATTCCCTCTAGCTCTGAGCTGAGTTTATTAGTTATCTTCAATCTTTTGTGCAGCAAGACACAAAGGAAATATAAAAAGCATTTTAATTCTTTTCCACATAGCTCACCACATATTTTGAGGATAAAAAGGGAGCATTTGCAAAGCTTTGAGCAAGGGTTAAATTGTACTGTTGGAAGCCAGATTTATGCATAAAAAAAGTAAGGCAGAAAATAGTTTAGTAACCACAGAATTATCCAAGGGATGGCAAAGTTGGAATAAGTCACAACAGATATTTTTTTTCAGTCTTGTCAGTATTTTTGTAGAATTAAAAAAATGTAGACCCGAAAAGGACTTTAGAAATCATCTGGTCCAGTCTCATCATTTTGCAGATGAGGAAACTGAGCTCAGAGAGGATAAATGACTCATTCAAAATCATGGCACTGTGTGTTAGGGGGTTTTGAGACAAGACTCCATGACTTCCACAGCATTTCCTTTAGGGCTTGCTCCTTCTCTACCTCCAGAGTTGTCAGAGCTGAACAGAGGAAAGGGCTCTAGTTGTTTGGAAGATTTCACGTATACTGTTTTGTTTGTTTTGTTTTGTTTTAAGATGGAGTCACACTCTGTTGTCCAGGCTGGAGGTGGTGGTGTGATCTTGGCTCACTGTAACCTCTGACTCCCAGGTTGAGATTCTCCTGTCTCAGCCTCCCGAGTAGCTGGGATTATAGGCACATAGCCACTGCACGCATGCTAACTTCCTTTGTATTTTTAGTAGAGGTGGGGTTTTGCCATGTTGGCCAGGTTGGTCTCAAATTCCTGAACTCAGGTGATCCACTCACCTCGGCCTCCCAAAGTGCTGGGATACAGGTGTGAGTCTGCGCCCTTTGCACATGTACTTTCATAGTCTCCTACATCTCTGTGAAGTAAAGGAAGAGAACACTCCATACAGAGTCTTGACAGGAAAAACTATTGTATTCATTTTTGCCCAATGTTGAAATTTGACAAATCCCATGTCCAGTTGATGGCCAAAATTCTACCTGTTCTGTCTCCCAAATCTTTCCCAAGTTCATACTTCTATCCTCACTGTCACTGCCTTAATTGAGGCTCTCATTACCTCTTATCTAGACACCCCAAATGCCGTCCTAGTTCCTCCAGATTGTGCTTCATGATGTTATGAGGGAGATGGTACCAGAATACAAATCTCATCTTTAGCCCAGGCTTAGCATAGCCACGTAGGCCCTAAGACTCCAACTTGGACTATGTGACCCTTTACAATCTAATCTACCTCCCTGGCCCTCCACCAGCAATATCCAAGGACAGTGCTAAGAATTTCTGGAAAAGACAATGTTCTTTCATATCTATGTTCTTTGTGTGTCCTCCTCCATCTGCCCTTGACATCCCTGCCTGCCCCCCTCATTCTTCAGAGATGGTTCTGTCCCACTTAAGCATGAAGGCTTCCTCAGCTCCCCCAGCTGACCGAGTCCAGGCCTTGAAGCATGCTCTGTGAGCTGGTTGCACAAGCCTGCATTATTAATACATCGGTCACATGCAGCATCATGATCTACTTACTTTTATATAGCTCCTTTCCTGGATAAGGAGTTCTCTTTGAGGGCAGAGACCATGTCTGGTTCATCAGTGAAATTGTCTCAGCAAATGTTGATAGAAAGAAAGGAATGGAAGGAAGAAGTGAAACTATGATCGTAAGCAGAGAAGCTACTGGTAAGTTTTGTTTGCTTTTGTGCAGGATATTTTCATATCGTATGTATGTGTGTGTGGGTTAAAATTAACGTTCCCACTCACCTCCCCCAGCCCTACTTCTCAGAAGTCACAATTCCAGTTCATTTTTCCAGATCTTTCTGGAAAATGGCCGTGTAAAGTCATGCTTGCATTTTGGTTTTTGTTAAATATAGACTTATATTACACGCATATTCTACTGTGCTTTGCTCAATACATTATAGGCACACATAAAGATCTATCTTTTTAAATGACTGCATTATATCTCATAAAACATATGTGTGCCAAGTTTTTGAACTTTCCATTATGGACAGCTTCTGATTTTTCAATAGTTATGCTGCAACAAATGCTAGCCTGACTTTTCTTCAATCCTCTTAATACTTTCAAAGTAGTGGTGCCATCATCATTTACATAGTGTGTGCAAGAGCCTGCCAGTGGAGTGATTTGTAGAAGCTGTGATAACATTTGCATTGGTTCCTGTTCTGCTCATTTCTTGTATTCTTGATTCCCTTAGCTCTTGGTTAAGGTTAGAGGCTGAAAAGGGACTTGTAAAGGACGCAGAGCAAGCAGTTTCAGCGGTGCTCTGCTAATGTAACAGGGAGTGGGAGTGTCCTGAGAGCCCTCCAAGACTCACCTTCCACTTACAGAAATTACACTAGATTCCATAAATGTATGCAATGTTTTTTGTCTTGCAGTAAGTTAATTATTCATAGAAGTGTGCTCTGAACAGAAAATGCAAATGTGACCAAATGAGGTTTAGAGAAAGTGTTTCTACCAACTCTCCCCCTTTTTTTTTCTATAGGTGTTAACCTATCCAAGTAGCCCACAGATATGCCCATCTTATAGGAGATGTTATGTTTGTGGCAAAAGCATGAAGTTTGCTTTCCAGTGAACTAGAGGAAATGGGTTTTTTCCCCCTTAGTTTCTTAAACGGCTAATTATTTGATTATCTCCTCCTTTCCTGGCTTCTGTCTTTTGTTCTGACCTCCTGACCTCAAGTGGCCATGAGAAGGGAAGCAAGGGAGAAGCAGAGACCTTGCTCCTGCTTTTAGGCCTGTTGCCTTCTTTTCTTCAAACCTGCCTGCTGTCTTCTGTCCCTGAGTGTGAGGGCCATTACTTAGATTTACTCCTCCTACCAATTACTTTTTACTCCCCTTCTTGCAGGACTCACATGGATGCTAAAAAGCCAAGGACATGTGATTTGACTTCATCCACAGTTTTGAAAGAAAAGTTAAAGTATGCTAAGGTAATATCTTTGAATTTTCATTGGGAAAGTGAGATATTGCAAGGACGTAGGGACTCAGGATCCAATGCGGATGATTGTACTCCAAGCACCTCTGGGGACAGTGCAAAGGGAAAGGTGTGGGGGATCACGCTGACTGGCAGGGCCAAATCTGGGGGTGGGTGTGGAAGGAAAATCAGCAGAAGGGCAAGACCTTAATCCGACAGGTGAGCTGTATTCCAGAAGACCGTGGGTGAGGGCATCCACGGTATCTTTTACTGTGTCCTATATAAATAGGATCCTACTAGAAGTATCCTGGAATAGTTCAAGAACATTTCCAGAAAAGATCTGCTTTTTTTCCCTAACACCGATATGGTGTCTTTCCCTTTACTCTGGCTCAAAAACTAGTGCAGTGCCACTGCACTGAAGTTAAAGTTGTGATGGGATGACTTTGTGATACCAGGAAGCTATAAGAAAGGGGAAAAGCACTGAGCCAAAATCAGGAGAATCAAATTCTAGTCCCAGCTCTGCCATGAGTTGCTGGAGACCTCAGGGAAGGTGGTTGTCACAAAAAAGGCCCCTGAGAAATGGGGGTTGGGAGTGGTTAAGGTCTGCTCTGTTCTTAAAGTCTCCTGTATTCCTGCTTTTCCTTTCTTCCTCTATAATGGGAGTATTTTGGACAAGTGGAATTTGTCACTTTCAGCTCTTCCATTCCACCTATGATTGTGAACCCTGTGACTGGCATTCAGAGTACAGATACCATCCGTAGTTCTCGGAACAAGCAAGGGGGACAAAGGAAGAAGTACGGGGAGTTCCTGGGCTCTGGGGCTCAGGCACTGGGGCCTCCAGAATAACCAACCCTATGTATCTTCCAGGTTGTTTTTCTTTAAAAAAAATTTAAGCTTTAATTTAAATACCATCTTTTCCCCATGAGGAGCTCAAATGTTCATAGTCTTCAGGCAGAAATCATCCATTATAAAAGATAGCATTCAAGCCAGACTTGTGGACAAGGTCTTTCTAAGTAGGAATTTTAGAGAAATATGCCTATCAATATTTGTCCATTATCCATGTCCATGGAAGAAACGGGTGGATGAAATGCATCTGTGGACTGCTACCTCTGGGTATCATTTTGCAAGGTGACCCTAAACAACAGCCTGTTCCTCTTCCATCCTCCTCTTCACACTTCTTAACCTTCTCTACTTCTACCATAGTTTCCTCTCGTTCTGCTCAGCTGGTTTTAAGTGGGTATATAGTGTGCCTGATGCATGAAAAAAGAATCTGAGAGTAGAAACTGACACTAACATGTGACAAATAAAAACTCTCTACAGCAGGTTCAGGAACCAAGAGGCCTTCCTATTCCTAGGCAAAGATGACATGAGGCCAAGTGCCTTCAGTGCTTCTTATAGGCTGGGGAACATTCTCAGGCTGGCCTTTCCCCCATGTCATAGTGGGTCTGCAGTGGAGTAACTTGAAGAAATGGAGGCCCACAGCAAGAAATGCAGGGAAGGCTTCCCAAGAGATGTTACAATAGCTGCTTCTTTAGGGGAGTATTTCTTTTTTTCTTAAAAAATTGAGAAGATGGTGGCCTGGCATGGTGGCTCATGCCTGTAATCCCAGCACTTTGGGAAGCCGAGGTGGGTGGATCACCTGAAGTCAGGAGTTTGAGACCAGCCTCGCCATTAGTGTGGCATGGTGGCAGGTGCCTGTAGTCCCAGCTGCTCAGGAGACTGAGGCAGGAGAATCGCTTGAACCCAGGAGGCAGAGGTTGCAGTAAGCAGAGATTGTGCCATTGCACTCCAGCCTGGGCAACAAGAGCAAAACTCCATGTCAAAAAAAAAAAAAAAATTGAGAAGATGGCTATCTGAGGAAACTGGTTCAAATTCCATCCTCTCCAGAGCCAAGAGACAGAACATAACAGCTTCAAGGGCTTCTTCTAGGTTGTCCAGTCTGTGGTGACCATAAAAGGACTAAAAACAATTAGCCAAGTCCATGGGGCTCTTTTGAACACAGTCAATTAGGCACATGTCCAGTCTCCTTCCCATCTGGAGAGCCAAGGGACAATGGGGGAAGAGCCAGGGGACAGATAGATGCCCACCCAAGTAAAGGAAGATCAAGGGGGCTCTGTTCCATGGAGGGCCAGGCCCGAGTGAGGGCTGGGAAGCCATAGGGAAGCAGGAGCCTGTGCTGGGAACATTAGCCCCACCTGGCTTTCCCAAACACAATTAGCCACAGGACAGAAATTTGAGGGGGAAGAATGACTTTAATAACCTACGACTTTTTAAAGAGTCTCCAAACTCTCCTCTATGCAGAAGCCAGGGAATCCAGGCCACTTCCCCATCAGAGCCTGCTATATCCTGACTTTTTTTTATTGCATTTTAGGTTTTGGGGTACATGTGCAGAACATGCAAGATAGTTGCATAGGCACACACATGGCAGTGTGATTTGATGTCTTCCTCCCCTTCACCCACATCTGGCATATCTCCCCATGCTATCCCTCCCCAGCTCCCCCCCTGCTGTCCCTCCCCTATTTCCCCCAATAGACCCCAGTGTGTAGTGCTCCCCTCCCTGTGTCCATGTGTTCTCATTGTTCATCACCCGCCTATGAGTGAGAATATGTGGTATTTCACTTTCTGTTCTTGTGTCAGTTTGCTGAGAATGATATTCTCCAGATTAATCCATGTTCCTACAAAGGACATGAACTCATCGTTTTTGATTGCTGCATAATATTCCATGGTGTATATGTGCCACATTTTCCCAGTCCAGTCTATTATTGATGGGCATTTGGGTTGGTTCCAGGTCTTTGCTATTGTAAACAGTGCTGCAATGAACATTCGTGTGCATGTGTCCTTATAGTAGAATGATTTATAGTCCTTTGGATATATACCCAGTAATGGGATTGCTGATCAAATGGAATTTCTATTTCTAGGCCCTTGAGGAATGGCCACACTGTCTTCCACAATGGTTGAACTAATTTACACTCCCAACAGTGTAAAAGTGTTCCTATTTCTCCACATCCTCTCCAGCATCTGTTGTCTCCAGATTTTTTAATGACCGCCATTCTAACTGTTGTGAGATGGTATCTCAATGTAGTTTTGATTTGCATTTCTCTGATGACCAGTGATGATGAGCATTTTTTCACGTTTTTTGTCCTCATGGATGTCTTCTTTTGTAAAGTGTCTGTTCATATCCTTTGCCCACGAGAAGAAAGCTCATGAAAACTGGCTTAAAGCTCATGCGGCAGAAAGAGCTATAGCCAAAGAGAAAAGGGAAGCTACCAACCTGAGACGCAGATTACTGGAATTACCACAAAAGATGGCAACGCTGCAGGAAGAACCTGTGATTGTAAAACCAATGCTGGGAAGACCAAATACACAAACCCTCCCCAGAGAGGTCCTCTAAGCCAGATTGGCTTTTTTGGCCCATCCCCTGTGAGCGGTGGAGAAAGCTTCCCTCCACTGACAGTGGATCCACCTGGGAGACTGCTCTCTGCTACTGTCAGTCGAAGAGATATGCCCAGAAGTGAATTTGGATCTGTGGACGGACCTCTGACTCATCCTCGATGGTCAGCTGAGGCATCTGGGAAATCCTCTCCTGCTGATCCAGGATCTGGTACAGCTGCCATGATGAACAACAGCTCAAGAGGCTCTTCCCCTACCAGGATGATGGATGAAAGCAAAGTTAATATGATTCCAAAAGGGCCCCCTCCTTTCCCAGGAGTCCCTCTTATGAGCACCCACATGGGAGGCCCTGCACCACCACCCATTCGATATGGACCACCACCTCAGCTCTGTGGACCTTGTGGACCTTTTTGGCCTCGGCCAATTCCTCCACCCTTTGGCCCTGGTATGCATCCACCACTAGGCTTAAGAGAATTTGCACCAGGAAGATGGGACGTGCCACTCCACCCTTGGGAATTTTTACCAGGATAGGCACTATTTAGATGTTTAGGTCCTCTTGGCCCAAGAGAGTAACTTATTCCTGGTACCCGATTACCTCCCCCAACCCATGTTCCCCAGGATTACCCACCACCACCTGCCGCAAGAGACTTACTACCGCCAGGCTCTAGAGACGAGCCTCCTCCTGCCTCTCAGAGCACTAATCAGGACTGTTCACCGGCTCTAAAGCAGGGCGCATAACTATGACCTCTGATGTTTTATTGGAGAAAAAATGGACTGTGCATTATTCATTACAGTAAAAGACTTTATTGGCTTCAAAATCCAATTTATTTTAAAAGATCTGTTGTTAGAACTAAGCTGCCTTGGCAGTATGCACTTTTGAGCCAAACAATTCAGAAATGTCAATTCTTCCCTAAATAAAAATCACCTTTTAAGCTAAAAAAAAAAAAGGAGGCCTATGGCCTCCTTTCTCTTGCACCCGCCCAGGTGCTCACAGCAGCACACACAGCCTCCGATGACAACTTATATTTTCTTCCTAATGCTTCCCCATAATTTGTACTTTTAAAAATTGAAAGCTAACTGTGGAATCATTGCCTAGTGATTGATTTCAAGTAGATGCAGACCTTAGTACCTGAGGGTGAGCTCAGGCCCCACGACAGCAGCTTACACTTGCCCTGCTCTATTGCTTCAGATTCCCCAAGGACTGATAAGTTGGAGAGATATCCTAGTATTTTCCATTAATGACAGGTGCCCACAGGAGCTAACAACTGTGGTGGTGCCTGACTTCAACTTTTTAACCCTTCTGAAATATTAGGAAAATTTAGATTCTAGGGGATGGAATAGACCCTTGTCAGTGTAAGAAGAAAGTGAGTCTTCTTCCTCTGCTACCTTTGAAGCACCTAGAGAAGTTCAGGAATGTGGTCTCCTTTCATGTGTCGTCTGAGGGAAAGCCAAGGTACAGGTTTCTCTTCTGTCATTCACCCTCACTATCAAGGAAGCAGTCACAAAACCAGAAGTGAACCTTTTTCAGAAGGTGGAGGGGCCTGAGCCAAGTTTCTGTAGAACAAATGCCTGCATGGCCTGGCAGGGTGGACCACAGGGTGTCATCTACAGCCTCATCCAGAGAGAGAGAGAGAGAGAGAGGAGAGAGAGAGAGACAGAGAGAGATGGGGAGAGAGAGAAAGAGAGACGGAGAGAGACAAGAGAAAGAGGGAGGATGATGATGGTGATAGTTGGATCAATAGATATCAATACATGATGGGCAGGATGAAGACTCCATTTGTTTCCAAATGGAAACAAATTGTTCAGTCTACTCCTTTTCAATAATTATATGGCTACTTCCTCTCAACTCATCCAGGCCCTGCCCTGTCCTTAAAGTCCAATTAAGCTTCAAAACCTTTCCTGGGACCTCCCACCCCATAGGAAATCTTTTTCTTTTTCATGCTCTTAGAGCATTATAGATGGTGCCACCCACTCTGACGCCTCATCTTATAGAGTACCATCCTCCCCCAACCACAAGTGACATCCAACAACTGTGATTACACAGAACACGACCTGAGAGAAAGGAAGGAAAACACCCTCAGAAAGGTAGGAGAATATTTATTCCATTGTTCGTGCAACACCCAACCACCAAAACCGAGCTTATTAACCTTGAGCTGATCCAAAGTTAAGCTTGTTCATAAAACAGTTCTCGTGTCCCTCCAAGTTAACCTTCAGTCTTAATGGTCACACCCATTTGGGTACAGGAGCAATAAGAAATAGACCATGAGAACACACAGTCTCTGCAAGATTTTATCATTGAGAGAATTCCTGAGTTGATAGCTCTAAAGGAAGATGCTGTATTTGCCTACTCTAACCCATTTTTCAACCTGTTTTTTTTTGAGATGGAGTTTCACTCTTGTTACCCAGGCTGGAGTGCAATGGCACAATCTCGGCTCACCACAACCTCTGCCTCCTGGGTTCAGGTAATTCTCCTGCCTCAGACTCCTGAATAGCTGGGATTACAGGCATGTGCCACCATGCCCAGCTAATTTTTTGTATTTTTTTAAGTAGAGACGGGGTTTCACCATGTTGACCAGGATGCTCTCGATCTCTTGACCTTGTGATCCACCCGCGTTGGCCTCCCAAACTGCTGGGATTACAGGCTTGAGCCACCGCACCCGGTCTAACCTGTTTGTTTTTTAAAAGGCTTCACTAAGGGTTGATATGTACCATTGTATGGGGCAATTTTAAGTCAGCTAAGGCAATAACCTTATGCATGAACATTTCCCAGACTTTCATGAAGCTGTTGAGGTCCTAGGCAATTGATGCAGCAGTTATGATAAAAACATCTCACCTAAGTCTCCTTTTCTTCATAGCATAGATACTAACATGATAGGAAGCTTAGGGAAAGAAAACTAGAGTATAGAACATGGATTCAAAAGTGGCTGGAACAAATTGGCTGACACTTTACTGGTGGTAACCTGCTCTTCCTCTGGTGTTACCCTTCAGGATTGTTCCACTAAAGTTTATTTTTCAAAAAAAAATGCAGTGAGAAATGACTGCCAGCGGTTTGGAAGGAAAAAACACCGACCATCAGAAAAGGTGGAGGGATATTCAAGGAAGGGTGAGTTTGGCCCACACCATCAAAAAGAGATAAAATTGTGTTCTGTGAATTCTTTTTTTCAGAGGCAGAGGAGGGCATCTTTTAAAAATCTCTATCAGATGTGTTCAGATAAAACGTTTCAGAACTCAAAGCCAACAAGACTCTACAATGCAAGAAAGCCCAGGTGCTTGGGGCACCTCCCGTCCAAGCCAAGATGAATAAAACTCAGGGCACATCCCCCTTCCTTGCTGTGCCACTGCTTGGCTATTTCAGGACATACCTCTTGGTTTCTCACTGTAAGCTCCAAAGAACAGGCCATACCTTCTGTTTTATTTCCCTCCTCTCAATGCCCAGTCCCGTGTTGAGCACTTAGAAGGTGCCTCCATGCTAGTTAAGTGAATACATGAGTGAATGAACACATCACACTTCTGATTCTTCATCTGATGTTTTATTTAGTCCCACTGCCTTGTGTTACTCTAGAGAACGACCAGGAAACAGATTTCAAAAAAACTAATTTTTGAAGTAGGTGTGGCCTTGTTACTAGACCACAGTTTCAAAAGCCCCACAGCCCTCATCACCCCACCCTTCTCCTCACTCCCACCACAATGATAAGAAATAATCAGGTCTCGCCTATCACAGTCAGTCATACTCCAGACTGACCCTACAAATAGAAGTCCCCAACAAGACGGTCCAGGAGACTGATTCTCTCTAAAACACTTCCCAATTTCTTCATGACCTGGACCTTGTGGCCCAGCTCTTGAGGGGCTCTCCTCTCTCCACCACCCACTAAGCAGACAGACTGGAAGCCCAGTGCCTGCATAGCTCACAGGCTTGCCGCACGCATAGATGCTCACATCCAAAGCCGTAAGTGTAGCCTCAGACTCTTTGACAGGTAGACAGGAGAAAGAATACAAGAGGCTGCTGTGGAGGTTCCCAGGGAAGGCATCCTTCCACTGACGATTCTGATTTAGCCCAAGCTGAAGAGAACTCTGCCTGAGAAAGCTTTTTCGCAAAGACTCATCCAGTCTGCCTTGTCTCATGACCTTTCTGCAGAACAATGAGCAAAACTCCTATCCCAAGAGAGGGAGATGGGAGAGGGAGAGGGAACACAGGTGCGCTAATGAGCCAGGGATGCCGCTCTTGTTGAAAATCCTAGAGCACCTGTGGGCCTTCCCGACAGACGCAAACCACCTCGCGGGCACTTCCCTGGTTCACTATTTATATACCTGTCAATAGCAAAGGCTAATTCAAACAGAAAATCAGATTCCTTGAAAGAAATGGTCTGCCCGAGACCAGCAGACTCAGGCTCCCCGTACCCAACAAGCCCACATATCTGGTATCCTACATAGGTGAGCGTTCATCCTGTTTTAAAGATCTCTGGGGAAAGGTACTCTCATAGTTCCAGAAACATCCTGACTCCTAGCAAGAAGTGCTGATGTGCATCTGGCCTAAACCACTCCTGCTTAGAGCTGGGGCTCCCTTCAGAGTGCTCGGTGCCCAGCAGGGCTGGAAAACATCTGGGTCTCTGCTCTGGAGACTCGGTGTTCGGAGGGAAAATGAAGATATTTTTATTATCAGTCTTAGGATCTGTTACTCAAATGAGATCGTCCTGCTATAAACATGTCCAGATCTTAAAGATTTGGCTCAGCAATGGGGCCAGGACAGCCCCAACTCCTGCTCCCCAAGAAGGCTGTCTCCCCAGTCAGTGCCCCTCAGGGCAGACTGAAGACACCCGGTGCCTTCAGCAACCATCACCACTGTCCAAGGCACCATCTTCTTTGGGAAGGTATCTAATCTGGTCAATCACAAATTCTTTTTTCAGTATTTCCTAGAGAAAAACAAGTCCCCAAGGAAAAAAATCACTCTATGTAGAGAAAGAATATTTCTCTCATGTTCTTACACCCAAAGCATTTAATGTTCCACAATAAATAGATATTGCTTCCCCCCCAAAAAAAAATTCTGCTCAGTCTCCAGCCCAACCCCATTTCTTAGCAAGTTATAAGAAAGCCAACTTCGAAAGCTCTGACATGGAAAAGGGTGTCTAAAAAGAAAATCTGAAGCACAGAATTCCTGACTCCTCAGCCCCATCATTCTCCGCATACATCATACACCCACAGGATGTAGAAGAGAGTGGGCATGATAAACAAGAGTGTTCTGGGACACTAGGCGGCCCTCCCCCTCCCTCCCCAAGAATTAGCAACCTAGGCACCCCCCCAACCCTCACTCCCACCACCCCACAGTACTGGAAGGGAGGCCCTGCTCAGGCCCTTTCAGCACAAGAACTAGGAGCTATCTGCAGAGGCCTTGTAATCTGCCCCCACTTCTGTTGCAGACCAAAGTGGTGAATACCCCACTGACATCTAACATCTCAGGGTGGTAGCATTCTCCAGACATACGGACGCTGCAGGCAGAGGGCTGGCGAGCCAGCCTGACCGGGATCCCAAGGCAGAAGCAATCCCCAGAGCTCCCACTGACTAAAAACATGCACTCACTTGTGAAAGATGGAAAGTGATGTCCTGAGACTCTCTGACCTGCCTGAAAACTGATTTAAAAACAAAACCTAAAACCAGTCTGGTGGTAAAAGTCAGTCCTTATCCGACAGGCCCTGGGGCAAGGTCCACAATTCTCCCAGCCAGACAGAATAAGAAATCGTGCATTTCCTGTGGGACTTTGCTCTGCCCTTCCCCTCCCAAATTTCCTCTGCCTCCTGCCCACAATGTCCTCACCTCTTTCATGAGCACCACCACTCCAGGACCTCCATGCCAACCCAAGATGCTTCACAGCCACTGCATCTGGTTTGCACCAGGTGAGATGAGGACCCAGCCTCCTCATGTTAGATTTCCCTTCTTTTAGCGGCCAGGCAGTCAGCCACAAGATACATGATGAGAGTTGCCTGTCTGCTAATTCTACAGGGCACCACGCTGCTGGAAGCCTGTCCTCAGGGAGCCTCTCAGTGTGAGGGTGGGCTGGATGACAGTTCCTGAGAAGAGCAGAAAGACAATTTGAATGCCACCTGAATGTGAATTCCATGTTTGTTTGTCCATCCAGAAAATGTTAACTGACAGCCTGATATGTTAGGTCCTATGCTAGGTACTGATGATATAAAGATAAATAAGACGTAATTCCTACCCTTGAGGAGATTCCTTGCAGAGGGAAGCGCACTTGAGAGGGAAGATAATTGCAAGATGAGAAAGTGAGCGCCTTACGGGGCCGTGCAGACTACTTTGGAACCTTTAGGAGCAGCAGTTCATCCAGCAGGTCATTCCTGAAGGGGAACATCAATGATTGTGAGGAATTAGTCAAGCAGTTCCTCACAACCAAGGGCTGTATAGTGTTAGCTGGTGGAGATGAGGCATGGCCTCCCTGGGGAGGACAAGCCCCTCAGGATGGCTGGAGCAGAGAGCATTGGGTGAAAAGCTGGCAGGAAGAGACAGGTGGGGAACAGAAACCACGGGTCCCTGGGGAGGACAAGCCCCTCAGGATGGCTGGAGCAGAGAGCGTTGGGTGAAAAGCTGGCAGGAAGAGACAGGTGGGGAACAGAAACCACAGGTCCCACATGCTGGGTGCCTGCAACAAGCGGGGCACCCTGCTAGAGAGAAAAATGGCAAAAGCAAGAATAAAGGTGCAAAAGCGCTCATTTTATCCTTGCTACACTCGTGAAGCAGGTGTGGTGCCCCCATTATATACAAAAAACACGGAAGCTTATATAGGTTAAGTAACTTACTCAAAGTCACACAGCAAAAACAAATTACAGCCATCAAAGCTCACTGTATCAGTCCTGTGCTAGAAAATACAGTCACTTGGACTTCCCAAAGAACTCCGAAGTGGGCATTATCCTAGGCTTACAGTTGAGGAAAAGGAGCATCTGCCAGGATCTGAACCTGGGCCTAACTGAGCCCCTCTCTCCAAGTGCAAGCCCTTTACCTTGTGACATGAAGGGCCTTGGATGCCCCACTAAGGAGTTTGGACTCTCACTAAGGATAAGGCCATGGGGTTACCTTGAAGAATCTCAAATGGGAGGAGGGACAGACATGACCCAATCTGCATTTGTAGAAGCTCATCCAGGCAGCTCTGTGGAGAAGGACTGGAGGAATCCACACACCCAGGCAGGGATTGTTGAGTGGCCATTGTGTTAACCCCCGCAAGTGTTGGCAGGGTCTGGAGTGGGTGGGAGCAGTGAAGATGAAGAGAAGGGTGACCTCCACAGAGAGTGAGAAGGTGGGTCAACAGGATGATGACACAAAAATGGGATGTGGGCCTCAAGGAGAAGGAACCGCCCAGGACGAGAAGGAGCAGCTAAGAAAGTACCCAGCTAAACTGAGGTGGGGCTGGGGCTCCTGTGATGATAGATTTGGCCAACTGAGTGGTTACAGACAATATTTATCAAATAGAGAATAAAGGAGCAGAATGAAAGAGAGGCTCTGGGGGTGAGAGAAAGAACTTTGCTGTGGGAGTGGCCAAGAGGAGATGCCCAGGTGACAGGTGGCTGTGCAGACTTGGTTCTTAGGAAACAGGATCCCACTGGGGAGATGATAGCAATACAGGGGTCGTTGAATCTTTGAAGACAATCAGTTCACCCAAAGACAAAGTATTGATTGGAAATTGGAAAGAGAACAAGACTCTGGACAATCCCAATCTTTAAGTGAGGTGGGCAGAGGTGGAGGTTCTTAGGAAGGAGACTGAAGAAGACCTAGAAAGGCAGAGGAGAACCAGAGGCAGCACCATCAGGGAAGCAGAGACAGGAGAGCCTGCGGGGTGATACCCATGGAGAAGCCTGGAGGTCCGTGAGGCCTGAGAAGCCATGTCCATTGGGCTTTATGATCCAAAGGTCAGCAGGGACTTCAGCCCAAGGGGTTGCATGGAATGTTCTTGGGGGATTGGGGGCTGCGAAAGTCAGATTGTGAGGGTTGAGAAGTGAGGGAGGGGGACACAAAGTCAGTGAGTGCCTGCAGGTGATACTTCATGCACTTTCTACTGTACACAGAAGTGGTGATGAGGCCACAGTGTTCATAGGGACAAAGGGCTGAGAGGGGGTCTTGTTATAATTCCATTGAAAGAGTCTGGGGCATGTTTGAATGCCTGTAGGAAAGAACTGGAGGCTGCTGGGTGGGAGGAGGTGGTGGAGGAGATTTAAAATGTGAGAACTGGTTGGTTTGGGCACCACTGGTAGAATGCCCCTCATATTGGATGTTCATCCTTCCCAGTGATTCCTCAAGACGTGACCTCTGGAACACAGCCCTGGCTGCCAGGCGTTTTAGCCTGGCCCAAGCTCCATGGCCTCTCTAGCACCCTGGGTGGTAAAGACATGGAGCTTTGGGCTTCCCATTTATCTCCCTCTCTCCACCACAGCCAAGCAGCTAAGTGTCCTGAGCCTATCCACACATTTGGCATGTGGGGACTGAGATGCTCCAACCCTTCTATCCCCTTGAGCCAGCCTAATAATTACAGCCCTCAGAGCTCATTGTATCAGGCCCTATGCTAGAAAATACAGTCACTTCGACTTCTCAATGAACTTCAAAATGGGCATTATCCTAGCCTTACAGTTGAGGAAAAGGAGGCTCAGAGAAGTTAAGTAACTCATCCCGATGTCATGCAGTTTGCAAGTGGCAGAGCCTGGATTCAAAGTGAAGCCTTTCTTATACCAAAGCCAAGCATCTTTACCCACTCCTGTCCTGCCTCCAGTGAAAGGATGCTGGCAAATTCATGTTTCATTTATTCATCCATCAATTTATTAATTTATCAAACACTCAAGCATTAACTATACTCCACATATGACTTGGAAATTTAGAAAGATCAAGTTTAGCACAGCAAGGAAAAGGAGGAGGACAGCCAGAATGTCTAGCAAACAGAGGCCCTGGGAAGCAGTTTCACAGGACAATCTGGGGATCAACTCCTGTAGCCAGAATGAACACCATACACCTTTCTGATCACCTTTCCTTGTTCTCTTTTATAGAAACACAAAGAGGAAAAGACAGAGAGAGGGAATGAGACAGTACCTTCCAAGCTCGACATTGGCTGCAACCTGATGGGGCGATCTGACTCAAGAAACAGTAGGATGGGCTTTGATGCCTCACCCATGCACACTTTAGAAGCCTTCGGGATCTTTTCAAAGCACTGCCCTAACCTGTCCCCCAAGAGCTTCATGACTTCTGTTGCTGGGAAAAAGGTTCAGACAGGCCAAGTCTCAGGAGACCCACTCTTCCCTCATTCAGCATTGCCCTACCCTCACCCGCCCCCCACCTTACCTGTAAGCAGGGAACGTTGCCAGCATTTTTTCACTGGAGGCAGGACCACGTAAGCAGGGAAAGCCCCTCTACAGGGAAAAGAAGGCCATCCTTGGTAAGCGCGCCATCCCAGCTGAGTTGATTCCACCAGAGATGGGTGGCAGCCTCCAGTATAGTTGTGTCTCGGCAGCCCAGCATGGAAGCAGGTACTTACATGGGCCATGGTGACCAACTGGGCTCATTAAATTCTCTCAATAAATGTGAATGTGAGAGAAAAGGCAGATGCTAGTGTGACTAGAGGCTAAAAGCCACACAGAGCAGAGCCACAAACAAGCAGAAGCCGGGGTGAGCAGATGTCCCACACTGGTGGAGGAAGCCCAGGGGTTGGGGGTCTCAGGGCCAAGTGGGGTGTCTGAGGGGGCATTGTGCTGGGAAGATGGTAAGGTAACCAGATCCCTGGAGCACTCAAGACCCAGAGACCTTGTCCAGGCTCTGGAAACGAGTCTACCATCATTGTTTATAGAACCCTGAGGACTGGTGACCTCCCAGTTTCCAGAAATATCATTACCATAAATCCCATTGCTGAAGGCAACCCGGGAGGGTCTCTGTGGTCCTCAGGGAGTCTGACTGACACTTAGGCTCTAAGCATCTGGGGTTTGCAGAGAGAGCTGGGGAGAGCTGGGAGCAGAGAGAGCCACGATGCTGCCACTCTTGACTGTTTTCACTCCACCCTGCTCTTCTCATTCCTGCCACAGTGACAGACTGCACCAGCCCAGAAGGAAGCCTTGGGTCAAGGATGTGGGTTCAGTCCAATCTCTTAAAGTGCAAACATTGAGACAGTCACCTCCATCACTACCACTTGCTGTTCAGTGAAGAAACCACCACACCTTCTGCTCCTCTGAGCCCTGCCTCACTTGGTTCCAGGCCCCTAGAGCTTAAGACATGGGTCACCATCTCTTCGTTTTCAACCCTCAGTTTCTGCCCAGGGTGGCCTGATGGAAAGCCCCACTGTCAGAGTAGGAGTCGTCCCATTATGCCTGTCTTTTGCAGGAGCAGGTTTGAATTGTCATCTTTAAAAATTCCAAAATATTTATTTTACAAAGCAGGCCCTGTGTTCTGAAGTTTTATCTCAAAAACAAGGTCTCTGTGCAAATCAGATACAGCAAACATCTCCTCCTGGCTGATGGGAATGCCTGCTGCATTTTTCCCAGCCACATCTTCAGTCTTACTTAATTTTTTTCTTGTCTTCCAGGTAAGAATCATTAAGATACACGCTTACAGTAGTGCGCCTGCTTATCCACGATATCTAGCCAAGAGAAGGCCCAGCTTCCTAAACCCTACTGGGACTCACCAGCCACCAGCTCACATCTATAGTAAGCTCTTTCAAAGGCCTTCTTTACTGCTGGACATTCTTCCTTTGTGCAACAAGTCAATAAACCCAACTTGGTTCAGCCACAGGTGAGTTCTTGATGGTTTTTAACTTAGGAGGATTGGCAGAAATAGAGGTTCACTGAGTCAGTCAAAGCCCTTCCTCCTTGGACAAGAGCCCCCACTTTAGTTATGGCAGACACAGCTGAGACACACAGGGCATCTCTCTGATTCACCAGGTGGCCCACAGATGGGAGGCAGCTCATAGTCTGAATGGAGTCTGACATTGAGGCCCCTCTGCTTCAGGTTTGCTCTGTTCTAGGAATGAGGTGCTGTGCGACTTTTCCTGGTGATCCGATCAGCTTAAGGACAGACTTCCCAGGTCCCTGTTGACTGTGCATTTTTCCACTTAGAGGCAACACTTATGGCATTCAACAGCAGATGGGCATAGGAGCGTTGCTCGAAAGGCTAGACAGCAGTTTCACCAAGGAGTGGTGCAAATCTGATCGGATCACCGGACTTAAACCAAGATTGGCAGAGCTTGGCACACTGCAGCATCCCATCGTTCTCCACAGCAGGCGCAGGGAGGGTTCATCCTTCAGGTCACTACAGCATGTTACAGTGTTCTGCATCAGTGCCCTTCCTCTTAGGAAGAAACATCTCTGGGCTGAATGGCTAGCTCCCCTCCTTCAGCTACATAGAATTTCCCTTTGGGCATTTTTTATCGCATTTTAGGTTTTGGGGTACATGTGAAGAACATGCAAGATTGTTGCATAGGTACACACGTGGCAGTGTAATTTGCTGCCTTCCTCCCCTTCACCTATATCTGGCGTTTCTCCCCATGCTATCTCTCCCCAACTCCCCACCCCCCGCTGTCCAGTGTTGACTATATTTCTTAGGTGTGAGGCTATCTCAGTTACGGAGATAAATTAGGAAAATATCAACTCTCCTGTGTATGTGTGCAGAGTTCTCCATGCAAAATAAAGTGTGAGAAGCAGCAAATGCTATTAGCAGGAAGGCAAGCCAAAACTGCTATGCCCTTTTAAATGTCCTCAAGTCATCCTCAGACCCACCCATGTAATTATCTCCTAAGTTCACCCTCAAAAATGAGATTCTAAATTTCAGGGTCTGTTTACAGCCAGGTGATCATGTTACTTCCCTGCTCAATAAGCCTCAGTGACTCTGTATGCCTTCAAAATAAAGTTACAAATCCCTAACCCATCCAGGGCTGCTTGTCATCTGGTTCAAATCTACTTACAGTAGAATTGCCCACTGTTTCCTTTCCAGGCACTCAGCCTCCCTTCAGCTGATCAGATTTCCTAGAAATTACTGCTCCTCCTTCTAAACCCCACAAACAAAAGTTCCAGGAAAAGGCATTTGGAGGAAAGAGATTTTATTCCAGTGGACAGTTTGCACACCTGGGAAACCCAGCCTTTAGTGTAAAACGTAGGTGTGTTCAGAGAACAGCAAGAGGAGTTGGGTTTGTTTATTTATTTGTCTGTCTGTTTGTTGTGAGATGGAGTTTCGCTCTTGTTATGCAGGCTGGTGCAATGACGCAATCTGGGCTCACCGCAACAATCTGGGCTCACTGTGTTCAAGTGATTCTCTGGCCTCAGCCTCCCGAGTAGCTGGGATTACAGGCATGCACCACCACAGCTAGCTAATTTTTATTTTTAATAGAGACAGGGTTTCTCCATGTTGATCGGGCTGGTCTCCAACTCCCCGCCTCAGATGATCCATCCACCTCGGTCTCCCAAAGTGCTGGGATTACAGGCATTAGCAGGAGTCAGGTTTTATAGCAAACTTTCCTTCCCAGGTTTTCCATGAAGTCTATTTGTGCAAATGAAAGATTGAAACTTGCTTAGTTCTGACTGGCTGATACAGTTGAGCCCTGATTGTCCAGGGCAGATGAAAGCTGATTGGTCAGTATCCAAGCTCCAAACTAGAAGTCTGTCAGATGTTTCTTTTAGGGGAAGAGGCTGCAGATACCACGGTATTGATCCTTTCCCTTAAAGGCAGGGATTTATTTTTGTTAGCCCCATCTAGCAGACAGCCTGGCATATGATAGATCTTAATAAATATTGAGTAAATGAATGCATGTGTACTTGGAAAAATTAAATTTACCCTCCCCCATTCCATGCCTGAAAATACTGCTGAGGAGAAAACAAGTAATGTCTTGAGATTTTCTCAACAGAATATAAACATAAAGCTTAAATTAAACAGCAAGTTGAAGTGTGACACTGCTCTATTTTCAGGTTTTTCAGCACATTAGGAGTTGAGGTGAAGGTACTGACTGTCTTTGTGGTTTGTGTACAATTTTTTTTTTTTACTGGGATTCATAACTGGGGAAACAAAAGCATCTCTTTACCTGTATAACTTTGTTCCTTCCTTTATTGCTTTAAATAGGCAAGATGTGGTTTGTTTTTCTTTCACTGCTAATGTTTGCTTGTGCTCCTCAACAAAAATAACTTGCCATTCTTATTGCTCTCAAAGGTTGCTAAAGGTCCCCTCCCCACTTACTCATTCCACTCACTTGTAACCAAGATCCTCAGTGCTGCTAACGGAGACTCCCTCAGCCCTATATCTTCTGTGCCTAGAGCAGTAGATGGCAGGTCCAGTCATGTTAAACATTAGGTAATATCAGTATCCTTTCACTTTACTATGAGAATCCTCAAGACAGAATCATTATCCTCTGCTTATGCTTGCTGTAGACAAGAATGTGCACCAGCCCTCCCAGGAGTATAAAGATCATCACCACCACCATTGTAAGATGACAGCTTTTCACAGTTTACTTATCTTCATCCTGGTTATTCTCCCTCTTAGTCATTGGGAGTCTTGTGGCCAGGTGCAGTGGTTCATGCCTGTAATTCTAGTGCTTTGAGAGGCTGAGGCAGGAGGATTGCTTGAGAGGAGTTGGAGGCTACAGTGAGCTACGATCTCACCACCACTGCACTCCAGCCTGGGTGACAGAGCAAAGGCCAGTCTCTGAAATGAATCATTGTAAAAGAGTCCTGCAAGATGGGTATGAATCTTTCTAGAGCACAGCTGAAAAGTTAAATGGTTTGTCCCAGAGTACACAACTCAGCAGAGCCTAGAGTAAAATTTAAATCCAGTGCTTTTCCATCTAGGCTGCAGTGAACCATCACTAGAGTTTTATCAAAGTCCAACTTCCTGGCAATAGGGAGAAAAAGCAATTATAGCTTTTCTTGATATTTAACCTAGCTAACAGCTTCAGCTCAGAGAAAATCTTCCAAAAGTCCAAGACAGGTCTGGATGTGTATACTGTCACCCATCAACCATAAACTTTGATCCAGTTATGATTTGGGTATTTGTCTCCACCCTCCCAGATGCCTCTGATCCCACCGTAACCAAACCCCAAATCCTAGGGCCTTTCTTCTCCCAATTTCACAGTTTCTATACATATTTTCTAGGCACTTCCACCACTCACCACCCTCCAAAAGGGACTGGGCCCTGAGCTTTTCCACTGATTAATGCTTTCTATGTAATACACCTGCAGTTATGCTACAGCATCTCTGGGCAAAGGAATAGCCAGGTCTGTCTAACACATACTTGGGTGTGACTCTAACTGGCCTCTACCACTTTTAGCCTAAAGTGACAGTGCTTTTTAATGTTGGTTGCAGGCAGGGAACTGCTGCCCTCTCCCAAGCACTTCAGTTTCCTTGCACGGCCTCTCCTTGGCTTCTGTCTGTCCCTGCTAGAGAATCCTTCCCAACAATAAGAGAAGGCAGAAAAGAGGGGTCCTGATGGAAAAAGTAAAGAGCTTTCATTGGAGGAAGGTGAGTCAGGGCTGGAGAGACAGTAAAATGACAGCAATCACATCCCACTCCTTCTTTTGAGCTATTGATTCATTTTTAAAAACTGCCTGCTATTGCCACATGTAGCTATAATAATGCTACAGTGGACACTATCACCTCTAGTTTAACAATGAGTAGCCAGTCAAAGTTATTTCTGTAAACCAGTAAGAATTCTTGACAAACAACCCTGTCCCAGCCCACTCTCTGTCCCCTTCTTTTGCCTTTAAAACCCTTCTTGTGGGGTATATCTACCACATTGTCTTTATCCAATCTGTCGTTTAAGGGCATTTGGTTGATTCCATGTCTTTGCTGTTGTGAATAGTGACGCAATGAACATTCACAGCATAAAAAGGAATGAGAGCATGTCTTTGCAGGAACATGGATGGAGCTGGAGGCTTAGCAAACCAACACAAGAACAGAAAACCAAATACCATGCATTCTTGCTTATAAGTGGGCGCTAAATGATGAGAAAATGTGGACACAAAGAGGGGAACAACGCACACTGGGGCCTATGAGAGGATGGAGGCTGGGAGGAAGGAGAGGAGAAAAGAGAAACTTTTGGGTACTAGGCTTAGTACCTGGGTCATGAAATCATCTTTACAATAAACCCTGGTGACATGAGTTTATATGTATAACCTATACATGTACTCCTGAACCTAAATACAAATGGTTTTGTTTTGTTTTTGTTGTTGTTCTATTTTTTTTAAAAAAACTTCTTGTCGCAAAGGCTGTAGGAAGCTCAGAGCCAAGGGCCCCTGGGTCTGAGTCTTCCAGGCAGCTGTCCTCACTTTGGTTTAAGTAAACTCTTTAAATTACACTTTGTGTCTCAGCCTCTTGCTTTAAGGTTGACACTGTGCAGATTAAATAAATGAATGGCCCCTGTTTCTTCTCTGTCTGAAGCTTGGGCTCCTCATGAGAGGACTTCCTACTCCAAGATAGAAGGGAGTCTTGCTCAGAAGAAGGAGTTCCTGTCTGCTGAAGACACAATTCTGTCCAATGAGGTCAGGAGGGCTGTTGGGAACTTCCGTTAATCCCACTGGGGCAGGAAAGTGGCAAATGGCAGTTATCTGAGCTGAGGATGCTGGGAAGGGTTTTTACATGGGCAGTTGGGCCTTACATCATCAACTGACCCAACTTAAGTGCCCAAGGAAATGGAACAGCAGGGAGAGGATCATCACACACACCACCAAAACCCCCATTAGTCTCTGGCTTCAACATCCTTTTCCAAAACCTCAGGCCAGCGCATAGCCTCACTTTTCCATCTCTTCTCCATTGCTCCATAGGAGAGCCTCCTTGGTACAGGAATAGCTGAGATGTGGGAAAGATCAAGGGTTGTAAAAGCTGCCACAGATAATCTACAGAAAGCTTTGCTGGAATTAGATTGTGCATCTCTGAACCTGAGCTAGATTTGTTGGGTCAGGGACGATACTTGCTGACTGGTCCCAGAATTGACAGAGGCGGTGTCTAAGAAATGCTTGTTGGATGAATAAACAAACAGCTGAGTGAGTGTTTATGTGCGCCTGACAACTGCCTGTACCAGCACAAAAGTAAAAACCCAACACCCTCAGGCCACACCTACTGGAAAAGTACAAAATCATAGGATTTTGTTCAATTCTTGTCCTGTACGTTAAAGAACTGGGGCAGGAGAATGCGAGTAGGAGGATGAGAAATATGTTCTTTAGGCTGCTGCTCTGCAAGGTGGTTTGGAACTGGACCATAGCCTGAGGAAGCCCTTTAAGCTCCGGAATCACAAAAGGGCGGAAGCCGTTTCTATAGCGACGGGAGAGGGCGTGGCCGTGTCGCGCGCTCTGCCGGGCGCTCCCAGCCTCCCACAGAGGTTGGCGGTCAGCGCCGGCCTCTGGCAGCTCCTCTCACCATCTACCCGCACCAGAATAAAAGGACCGCGGAGGCTCTTAATTCGCGAGCATTCCGGCAAGACTACGAGCCAGCTAGGGTCCGCTACGCTCTTCTAGGTGACAAAGCTGGGAGACGGGGTCGTGGGGAAGAATGAAAAGCGCGCGGAATGCAAGAGTAGACTGGGGAGTGTGGGTCAGAGAGAGCCGGGCGGGGTGTGGTGCGCAGACTTGGAAAATACAGTTGTATCCTCGGAATCCAACATCAGTATACTTTTCTGTTAAGATGCCGATGCATCGCCGACTCCAGCTGAGTGCAGGACAGGGAGTGAGGGCTTCTGAGGAACTCATCACACCCTGAACTGTCCTTCCAGCCCTCACTGGGACGCCAGACTTTCTTCCTCCCTTTCTTTCTCTAATTTACTGCATGTCCACTTGGTAGTCCTAAGTGTGTCCATGACCACACGCCTCGCGTTGAGGCTCTGGCAGGCATTAACCATGTTCCCACGCAGCCCATATGCCTGGGCACCTCTGCTCAACCAGAGCCCAGCGCCTGTCACAAAAGCACGCTAAGGTGTGTGTAGATCATACACCCAGAGCTGCTGCTGTGAGGAAATTCCCAGAATTAGCAAATCTCTTCTTTAAAAACAGATGAACGATGCACAATTTGAGGGTTTTTGAAGGCTATATTGTGACATTTGCTGCATTTGAAATGTTCAGCAGCTCCTCAGAGCTTAGGAAAATTGTGACCCCTCTGACATGTCTTAAGCAACTGACAGTATCACTAATAATTTGTTTGTTTGTTTGTTTGTTTGAGACAGAGTTTAGCTCATTGCCCAGGCTGGAGTGCAATGGCGCAATCTCAGCTCACTACAATCTCCACCTCCTGGGTTTAAGGTATTCTCCTGTCTCAATGTTTTAAAAAGCTGGGATTGCAGGCATGCACCACCACGCCTGGCTATTTTTTTTTTTTTTTTTGTATTTTCAGTGGAGACGGGGTTTCTCCATATTGGTCAGGCTGGTCTTGAACTCACAACCTTAGGTGAACCGCCTGCCTCTCGCTCCACAGCGCTGGAATTACAGGTGTGAGCCACCACACGGGGCCACCAATATTAATTCAAGCTTCACTGTCCAGGCTTCACTGTCTAGGCTTAAGCGGAGACTTGGCAAAAGCAGGAGGCCATTTAGTGGAAAAGTTCAAACAGCGGAAACAACAAATGGAAATAACTTTTGTCTTGCTTGAGCGATTTAATCACCTACACGTGGTTGGTATGTAAAACCTCATAGTTCTAAGAAATTCTTCAAGCATGGACTCTGGCTGATTGCTTCTATTACTTACATCTATGGTTTCTCTTTTGTTTTGGTTCTTATGGAGAACGCAGAGAAAAAACGGAAGGGAATCTCTAGCAGTAGGCCAGCCACTCTTCCCTGACTTTGCCTTCTCCAACTCCACATATTGTTGTCTACAACTCGGCTAGAATCCATACTTCTCAAGCAAGTGGAGGACCCAGCACTGGGAATTAGTGGTTTTAGTTGACTCCAAGCCCATTGTGAGTGTGTTGTGATAGCTCCCCAAAGAGCAAATGTTGGTGGAAGCTGCATTAATAGAAATGCGATGACTGCATCAAAGGATATGGTCTTGCTGCCTGACTTAGCAGTGATTAGAACATAATCCAGACTCTGTAGACTGTAGCCACTTTGAGATCATAGAAAACTAGAAAATAAGAGCAACCACAAGGCAGGCTGTCTCTGTTAGGCCTGGATGTGCCATCATATGAAGACAGGTTTGAAAAAACTTCACAGAATGCCTGGAGATGAGGAGGTGCAGGGGAGGGAAGCAGGCATTTTTCTATTCAGGTTTGGAACATGCAAGAACTCTTGAGTAGGAAAGAGACAGATTTGTTCATTTGTACGCTGCAGAGGATAGCAAGGATCAGTGAGGGAAATATTCCTCAATATCATTTATTTTTCTAAGAAATATTTGTCAAGCACCAACCATATGTAAATTAACAGCTGAGTGTGAAATGGGTTGCCTAGAAAAACATTGCACTCTGTCACAGAAATATTCCTGCCTAGATAGAGTGATTGTCAGGGATGCCATGGGAAGGTTTCTTCCCCTGGGTGGGAAAATGGATGAGACAGTCTCCAAAACCACTTCTAACTCCAGAGTCTGGGAGTCAGTGAACCTTCAAGAGTTTCAGGGATATATGCAAAGGGTCCAAGGAATTCTCTATGACTGAAATGACTGTGACTTAAAATATAGCTAGATAGAAGAAATAAGACACAGTGTTCAATAAATCAGCAGAGTGACAATAGTAACCAATAATCTGTTGTATATTTCCAAATAACTAGTAGAGAACACTTGGAAACCCTGACTTGATTATATATTATATAAATTTATAAATATATACGTCTATTAGGTATCAATTAAAAATGAATATAACTGAAGTTAATTAAATACATTATCTCCTGTTCACAGAATGCAAAGGGAATCCCTGCAAATCCTACATTGCCACACTTTCTGCCCCAAAGACAGCCCCTGGGCATAAAGATCAAGCTACTGCCAATTGTAGTAGAAATACTAAAATCATAACAGATAAATCTCAAAAGATTTGTTTCCTTTCTGGATATTGAAGTCTTTATGCATAGATAATGTGTATGTATTAATATAAAAGCCTATGCACGGCAGTAAGGCTGGCACCTCTGTGGATCTGTCTTGCCCTCGAGACTTCAAACTCTTTGAAAACAAGGATTCTGTTTTATTTATCTTTGAATCCTCCATGCTTAGCACAGTAGCTGGCACACAGTGGATACTCTGAAATTTTTTGATGAATTAATCTATTTTAGATTTCTCTTCCTTCCACAAATTTGTACCAAGTTTTCAATAGACAAGTCACGGTCCTCACCCAAAAAGGAATTGTTAAGAAAGCAGGCTTGCTATCTATGTTCCCAAAATACAATCATATGAGACAAAAATATACATACACTTAGAAACATTAAGTTACACTAAAGCTCTTGACCAAGTGAAGAAATGAGTTAGGCAAAAGGCTGTTGAACACTTGAGGAAAGAGAGGAAGAGGAAGGGGAACACTGACCTGCATGTAAGATGAAAATGAGGATGGCCAAACTTTTGGTTTCAGTTCTCAAGGGAACATTCCCTCTAGCTCTGAGCTGAGTTTATTAGTTATCTTCAATCTTTTGTGCAGCAAGACACAAAGGAAATATAAAAAGCATTTTAATTCTTTTCCACATAGCTCACCACATATTTTGAGGATAAAAAGGGAGCATTTGCAAAGCTTTGAGCAAGGGTTAAATTGTATTGTTGGAAGCCAGATTTCATGCATTAAAAAAAAGTAAGGCAGAAAATAGTTTAGTAATCACAGAATTATCCAAGGGATGGCAAAGTTGGAATAAGTCACAACAGATATTTTTTTTTCAGTCTTGTCAGTATTTTTGTAGAATTAAAGAAATGTAGACCCGAAAAGGACTTTAGAAATCATCTGGTCCAGTCTCATCATTTTGCAGATGAGGAAACTGAGCTCAGAGAGGATAAATGACTCATTCAAAATCATGGCACTGTGTGTTAGGGGGTTTTGAGACAAGACTCCATGATTCCACAGCATTTCCTTTAGGGCTTGCTCCTTCTCTACCTCCAGAGTTGTCAGAGTTGAACAGAGGAAAGGGCTCTAGTTGTTTGGAAGATTTCACGTTTACTGTTTTTTGTTTTGTTTTGTTTTGTTTTTAAGATGGAGTCACACTCTGTTGTCCAGGCTGGAGGGTGGTGGTGTGATCTTGGCTCACTGTAACCTCTGCCTCCCAGGTTGAGATTCTCCTGTCTCAGCCTCCCGAGTAGCTGGGATTATAGGCACATGCCACTGCACGCAGCTAACTTCCTTTGTATTTTTAGTAGAGGTGGGGTTTTGCCATGTTGGCCAGGTTGGTCTCAAATTCCTGAACTCAGGTGATCCACTCACCTCGGCCTCCCAAAGTGCTGGGATACAGGTGTGAGTCTGCGCCCTTTGCACATGTACTTTCATAGTCTCCTACATCTCTGTGAAGTAAAGAGAACACTCCATACAGAGTCTTGACAGGAAAAACTATTGTATTCATTTTTGCCCAATGTTGAAATTTGACAAATCCCATGTCCAGTTGATGGCCAAAATTCTACCTGTTCTGTCTCCCAAATCTTTCCCAAGTTCATACTTCTATCCTCACTGTCACTGCCTTAATTGAGGCTCTCATTACCTCTTATCTAGACACCCCAAATGCCTTCCTAGTTCCTCCAGATTGTGCTTCATGATGTTATGAGGGAGATGGTACCAGAATACAAATCTCATCTTAGCCCAGGCTTAGCGTAGCCACGTAGACCCTAAGACTCCAACTTGGACCATGTGACCCTTTACACTCTAATCCACCTCCCTGGCCCTCCACCAGCAATGTCCAAGGACAGTGCTCAGAATTTCTAGAAAAGACAATGTTCTTTCATATCTATGTTCTTTGTGTGTCCTCCTCCATCTGCCCTTGACATCCCTGCCTGCCCCCCTCATTCTTCAGAGATGGTTCTGTCCCACTTAAGCATGAAGGCTTCCTCAGCTCCCCCAGCTGACCGAGTCCACACCTTGAAGCATGCTCTGTGTGCTGGTTGCACAAGCCTGCATTATTAATACATCGGTCACCTGCAGCATCATGATCTACTTACTTCTATATAGCTCCTTTCCTGGATAAGGAGTTCTCTTTGAGGGCAGAGACCATGTCTGGTTCATCAGTGAAATTGTCTCAGCAAATGTTGATAGAAAGAAAGGAAGGGAAGAAGTGAAACTATGATCATAAGCAGAGAAGCTACTGGTAAGTTTTGTTTGCTTTTGTGCAGGATATTTTCATATCGTATGTATGTGTGTGTGGGTTAAAATTAACGTTCCCACTCACCTCCCCCAGCCCTACTTCTCAGAAGTCACAATTCCAGTTCATTTTTCCAGATCTTTCAATATGGCCATGTAAAGTCATGCTTGCATTTTGGTTTTTGTTAAATATAGACATATTACACACATATTCTACTGTGTTTTGCTCAATACATTACAGGCACACATAAAGATCTATCTTTTTAAATGACTGCATTATATTTCATAAAACATATGTGTGCCAAGTTTTTGAACTTTCCATTATGGACAGCTTCTGATTTTTCAATAGTTATGCTGCAACAAATGCTAGCCTGACTTTTCTTCAATCCTCTTAATACTTTCAAAGTAGTGGTGCCATCATCATTTACATAGTGTGTGCAAGAGCCTGCCAGTGGAGTGATTTGTAGAAGCTGTGATAACATTTGCATTGGTTCCTGTTCTGCTCATTTCTTGTATTCTTGATTCCCTTAGCTCTTGGTTAAGGTTAGAGGCTGAAAAGGGACTTGTAAAGGACGCAGAGCAAGCAGTTTCAGCGGTGCTCTGCTAATGTAACAGGGAGTGGGAGTGTCCTGAGAGCCCTCCAAGACTCACCTTCCACTTACAGAAATTACACTAGATTCCATAAATGTGTGCAATGTTTTTTTGTCTTACAGTAAGTTAATTATTCATAGAAGTGTGCTCTGAACAGAAAATGCAAACGTGAGCAAATGAGGTTTAGAGAAAGTGTTTCTACCAACTGTCCCCCTTTTTTTCCTACAGGTGTTAAACTATCCAAATAGCCCACAAATATGCCCATCTTATAGGAGATGTTATGTTTGTGGCAAAAGCATGAAGTTTACTTTCCAGTGAACTAGAGGAAGTGGGTTTTTGCCTCCTTAGTTTCTTAAACGGCTAATTATTTGATTATCTCCTCCTTTCCTGGCTTCTGTCTTTTGTTCTGACCTCCTGACCTCAAGTGGCCATGAGAAGGGAAACAAGGGAGAAGCAGAGACCTTGCTCCTGCTTTTAGACCTGTTGCCTTCTTTTCTTCAAACCTGCCTGCTTTCTTCTGTCCCTGAGTGTGAGGGCCATTACTTAGGTTTACTCTTCCTGCCAGTTACTTTATACTCCCCCTCTTGCAGGACTCAAATGGATGCTAAAAAGCCAAGGACATGTGATTTGACTTCATCCATGGTTTTGAAAGAAAAGTTAAAGTATGCTAATGTAATATCTTTGAATTTTCATTGGGAAAGTGAGATATTGCAAGGACGTAGGTACTCAGGATCCAATGCAGATGGTTGTACTCCAAGCACCTCTGGGGACAGTGCAAAGGGAAAGGTGTGGGGATCACGCTGACTGGCAGGGCCAAATCTGGGGGTGGGTGTGGAAGGAAAATCAGCAGAAGGGCAAGACCTTAATCTGACAGGTGAGCTGTATTCCAGAAGACCGTGGGTGAGAGCATCCACAGTATCTTTTATTCTGCCCTATATAAGCGTGATCCTATCAGAAGTGTCCTGGAATAGTTCAAGAACATTTCCAGAAAAGATCTGCTTTTTTTTCCTAACACCGATATGGTGTCTTTCCCTTTACTCTGGCTCAAAAACTAGTGCAGTGCCACTGCACTGAAGTTAAAGTTGTGTTGGGATGACTTTGTGATAACCATCTATGGGATCAACTTCTAAATCAGGGGTATTTTTAAAATCCAGCAGCACTCAGTTTGAATTTCTTAGTTTGTTCAAAAGATCACATTGTTTGGGGATTTTGTCCTGAAAGTTTTGCAGCAAACTTCAGCCCAAAGCACTCAGTTTCGACTTCTGAATCCTGCCTGCACCACTGATTGGGAGAACCGGAGTTCAGCAGCCTAGAAGGACTAGCAAAAACCGTCCTCGTATAAATCACATACACTTACTTAAAATTATGACTTTAGGTTTCCTCTTCTAAGCGCTGTTCCTGATTTAACCCTAGTATTGTCCCTCTGGGGATTAGAACTCACCCAAATAGACCCTAAGGCTCTAGCCCGCTACTGGTACCACTGCCACATATAACAAAACACATTTATTTTGCAATTTGCAGGTGCAATTTTGAATACTTAAAACAAACTTACTTTGATAAAATAAAAAGTACTGTAAAATATTTGAAATAATAAGCCTCCAGCAAAACATGATAATATAATAAAGATGGCATTCTTTTCAAGTGTTAAAATATGGTGCAAACAGAACAGTCTTGGTTATGATTTTATTTTAGCAAAATCATCATGAGGTTTGCAACTTGCACTTTTTTAAGCTGCTAGAGTGCACATTTATTGAATGCTGAGGTGACTCACACATGTGCCTTAGCGGCAACTGCTATTATTATTCTCATTTTACAGAGGGGGAGATTGATATACAAGCAAGGCCAACTAGCTTATGGGTATAATGCCAGTGAGTGGAGGATGGAATTCAAACCCATCTTCTCTTTTAATTGCTATTTTTTAAATTTTTGAAAGTAGAGACAAGGGCCTTGCTGTGTTACCCAGACTGGTCTTGAATTCCTGGGTTCAAGCAATCATCCCACTTTGATCTCCCAAACTGCTGGGATTACAGGTGTGAGCCGCCACACCCGACCAAATCCATATGCCTCTCTGTTGCATAATGACAGCTCTGTTAAATGTTTTTCTGTAAAGTTCCTTGTACATTACAATTAATTTTAAAGAAAGCAAACTCTATTGCAGTTACAATGATAGAAATTGTCAAAAAATAAAGTAAGTCTGGGCATGATGATTCACACCTGTAATCTCAGCACTTTGGGAGGCTGAGGTAGTAGGATCACTTGAGCCCAGGAGGTTGAGGCTGCACTGAGCCGGGCTTGCACCACGGCATCCAGCCTGGGCAACAGAAGAAAACTCTGTCCCAAAATAAATTAAAATAAAATAAAAACGCCATATTCAAAATTGATTTGCTCATGTTGTATTTTACAATAATTACTGGCAAATTTGCAGTATCATTTAAAAATACCTTTAAACTTAAAACTACTGTCTTCGTATTGCTAGTCATTCTAATGGGTCTTAAATAAATCTTTTACTGTCTATTGGTTTACCTCAATGGACTTCTCATCCAATTGAATTTAATAGGTTTGAGTAAGGAAATGCAAACAAGTCAGTAACTGGTTTCTGCACATGAAGTCTTGGGTTTCAGTGGACAGTTATGATACTAACTGGAGAAAGAAAATGAATTGTATGAATCATAATCCCTTCATCTAAGAAAACGCTGAAGAGGGAGCTATGGATCTTACCATGTCTACTGCCCCAAGCAGGTGTTAAGAGGACAACTTAAATATTTAAATAAATGAATCATAATTTATGTTTTCACAGTATTTAAAGTTACAAATGATAAGTGTGATATTTATAATAACCAAGTATTCACATATTTTAATATGGATCTTGGTAACATTTCAGCCAAGGGAAATTTTTAAATGTGATTTCACTTGACTTTAAGACGATAGTGTAGCCCTCTCTCTAGTAATCTGGAGTTCTTTTCAGAATGCCCTATTCATTTGGCTAACACGAGGTAAAACCTTGATGCCAGTGGAGGTTCCCTATCCTTTTTGCTTAGCTGGCAAGGATCAAAGAACTCTCAGCCTCTCAGGAGGCTGGGAGCGGTGGCTCACGCCTGTAATCTCAGCACTTTGGGAGGGAGAGGCGGGTGGATCACCTGAGGTCCGGAGTTCGAGACCAACCTGACCAACATTGCGAAACCCTGTCTCTACTAAAAATACAAAATTAGCCGGACCTGGTGGCGTGCACCTATAATCCCAGCTACTCGGGAGGCTGAGGCAGGAGAATCTCTTGAACCCGGGAGGCGGAGTTGTGGTAAGCCAAGATCGGACTCTCAGGAAAATGCTCCGTGTTGTATTTATCCTAACTGCCGGCAGGGGGAACAGAGGTCTTTTGGTCCTCAGTCATCTCAACCAGTAGGCTGGAGGACTTCTGGCTTTTCTGCATGTCAGCGTTGCCTCAGCTGGTTTCCGGGACTTGAGAAGCTAGCTGAGCCCCAGGATCACAGGTTAGGCTATGCCAGGAAGAGAACCTGGGAGAGAGTCCTAGGGAGGGAAGCTGTTAATTTAGGATATTACATTACAATCTCCCTGACAACCACAAGATGCTACAAAGTACATCCAGAATCATCCTGAAGACACATTTTCAGTTTCAGCATCAGAAGCACAGGTACTTTTTCTCAGTTAATTTCTTAGATCCTTTCACTTGCCGAATATCACCTCCTTAGAGAGGGTTTCCTTTCCCACCCTTTCTAATTACAAATCTGTTTGCTTCCTTGTTTATTGTCTGTCTTGCCCCCCAGAACTGCACTGTCCAATATGGTAGCCCTTGGCACATGGCCCTTGGCATGTCTCCTACTGGGGGCGTGCTGTGAGTGTCAGATGCACACCAGATTTCAGAGACTTGATGTGAAAACAATAAATATAAAATGACGCATTAGTAATTTTTTATAGTTGGGTTAATATTTTGTCTTATTTTATTGTATTTTATTTATATCATATTGCAGTTTATATTTTATCATATGCCAATTAATACCTCAATAAAGTTGTAAAATAATTTTATATTGTTTATATTTTAAGATAGTATTTTGAATATGTGTTAAATAAAACATATTATTACAATTAATTTCATCTGTTTCTTTTTACCTCTTTAATGTGGCTACCAGAAAATTTTAAATTATATGCATGACTCATATAATATTTCTGTTGGACATTGCTGCTCTAGAATGGACACTGCACAATGGCAAAGCTTTATTGGACTGGTTCAGTGCCAGACCCCCAGAACCTAGGTCAGTGCCTCGCACAGAATAGCACTTGATGTGTACTTGTGGAATAAAAACTAGGAGTGTGTTTATTCATTTGTTCCCCCTACAAATATCTACTGTCTACTCATTTCAGATGTAGTTCTGGGGGCTAGGGATGCAGTGGAGAACAAAACAGGCCATAAAACACTCATAAACTGTAAAATTGGGATTCTTTGTAGGAAGATCAGATGTTTTGATTAAATGCTGAGAATGGTAACAACTCACCTTTATTTTCCCTGGCAGTTAAAGAGTTGGAATTGAATAGACCAGAGATTCTTAGCCTTGGTTGTGTATTGGGAACACCCAGGGAAGTTTTAAAGACTACTGAAATCAGAATATTTGGGGGTCATGTACATTTTTTAAAAAGCTCTTTTCTATCACGTGGGGACAGGTGTCCATTTCATCATCAGCTCTAGACCTCAGTTAGGTCATTGTCTCTGACCCTTTGCTGTTTGTGAAACTGGAATAATTATTCCTGCATTCTCTGATTCCGGTGATATTAAATGAGGTAAGAGAATGTGAGCTCTCCGGCTGGCAAATGTTGGAAGCCCAATAAATATTGGTTGCTTTTACCTTTCCTCTGTCTCTTCATTTAACAGAAAGGGGCTTTCTGTAAGAGATGGGCTTATCAACGAGTGTCACACAGCGAAAGAGGGTATCTGAGAGCCATTCATTTTTTCATTTCCCTGTCTCATCAGCACTCCCTATACAAAAAGCAGGAACAAAACAAAACCCTAATCTGACCATTTGGTGTTGGGCAAAGGAATGGAAATCAGATGAAACTGAAGAGAGGGCAAGCAGCAGAAATGTTAATTGCTAGTTTTGTCTAGGTTCTTAAGGTGGAACACTATTATTTATGGTAATGCATTCACTTTTTTTTTTTTTTTTTTTTTGAGACAGAGTTTCGCTCTTTTTACCCAGGCTGGAGTGCAATGGCGCGATCTCGGCTCACCGCAACCTCCGCCTCCTGGGTTCAGGCAATTCTCCTGCCCCAGCCTCCCAAGTAGCTGGGATTACAGGCACGCACCACCATGCCCAGCTAATTTTTTGTATTTTTAGTAGAGACAGCGTTTCACTATGTTGACCAGGATGGTCTCGATCTCTTGACCTCATGATCCACCCTCCTCGGCCTCCCAAAGTGCTGGGATTACAGGCATGAGCCACCGCACCTGGCCTTCACTTTTTTTTTAAAAATTGAGATGGAGTCTCGCTCTGTTGCCCAGGCTGGAGTGCAGTGCCACAATCTAGGCTCACTGCAACCTCTGCCTCCTGGATTAAAGCGATTCTTCTGCCTCAGCCTCTGGAGTAGCTGGGACTACAGGTGTGTGCCATCACACCCAGGTAATTTTTGTATGTTTAGTAGAGATGGGTTTCACCATATTGGCTAGG